GCAATTTATAAATAGTAAAAGCGTAGTTTAGAGTCATGGGTTTTCGCTCTATTGTAAATAGCTGCGACTGTAAACAGGGGAGGTAACCATGTTTCACAGAATTCCAACTAAAAATGCTGACTGGATGAAGAAATGGCTAACTTACTCTGGATATTTATCCAAACACACCTAAGATTATCAAGGGACATTATGTTTGCTCGGTACATTTCAATGAGGACGACTATTTTGAAAAAATGGAATTTGCCACACGGACCATAATGTGCTGAAGGATACGGTGTTCTGTCGATCTGTCCTACCTTGTCAGATTTTCCTACCGTAGCGCAAAATTATAGCCATATCTATCGGTTCATCCTACCTCGTCGTAAAATCCTACTGAGCGTTTCTGCTTCGCGTCTGTGACTAAGTTACATAAAATATTTCTGTGTAACTTTGCCGAATTTTCTTATTAGGCCATGTTACGGTGATTTTACAGTGCAAAGTAACGTTACCTCTTCAGATTGTCCTATGAAATAAACGATAGGATGATTTTACGTTGCAAAATACCTCATCAGATTGTGCTACCAGTATGAAATAAACGAGTAGTATGATTTTACAGTGCAAAATGCCTCATCAGATTGTCCTACCAGTATGAAATAAACGAGTAGAATGATTTTACGTTAATGTTTTCATGAAAAAAATGCTAATATGAATTTGCTTTGTATGAATGTGAGAGTAAACAGTTCTCATTACTGCTATATATCTTTGTATAGTGAAAAACTTACCTCAGATGAAGAAGATCTCGCGCAAGTAGTAAAATATTATGGGCGTGTTGTTCAGCGTGACAAAAAATGACGTATTATTGATGTGCGCATGCGCAGTAAGCCTTGGTAGGACAATCTGACGGGTAGGATGGAATGTCAGAACAACGGCCATCCCATCGATAGCACAGACAGGACAAGTGGATCACCTGCGGCTGAGGTAAGTGTTCCGTTATGTTTTTAGATGACCTACTGTAACAGTGCCTTTAGCCAGATCTAATGTAACGTTAGTGACACTATTATATGATTAGGGTATGAATATGTTTTTATCTTGATGCGGTGCGGACGCGCTTGGGAAAAAAAAACGAGCGCGTTCACCGCGTTGAACTTGCACCCTGCGCGCGGCGCGCCTAGTAGCCTAAATTTGAAATAACCATGGAAATAACGAACTTGAGCGTGCAAAAGGGTACGATAGGCTGTGAGTTCATTGTGCAAAAACAATTTGTGCTATTACTTTCCCCTTATTCTATCCTATAGTAATGCAATACTGTATATTATATAGGCTACTGTTGAATAGCCTACATTTGGTTCAGCTAATAAATTGCATTTAAAATATATTGATTCCTGTAATAATAATTATTTATTCATGTGATATTTATAAATCTGGGTGCGTTTTTGGTTGGAAATCAATGAAACATGGTACTGTATTACCTGGTCTCCCCTGTTTATTGTCACAGCTCATACAATAAAGCAAACACCCATGATAAACTATGCTTTTCTATCTAACGTTAGTAATTGCTGACTCTTTATTCCAACGCTGAGCGAAGCGAACTCTCTGCTCCTCGTCACGGTGCGTCTCAGGTGATTGTTATCACTCTGCCCAAGTAGCAGTGCTTCCCCTTCAGAAAATATAGTATTTATACGGTCAAAAGATGTCTGTGTCTCATATGGCCTTGATATTTGCACACTCTGTGACTATACAAACCACAACATGTAAATAGGAAAACGTTTGCGTTATTTTGTCACTCATTTGGATTAGTATGAAAGCTGCAACCATTCACATCCAGTCTTTGTGCTAAGCTAGGCTAGCGGTGGGTGCGTCAAACAGACTTATAGCACGCACGGAGATGAAAAAGGTATGTATGGACTTATCTAACTCTGGGGGGTAAGGTGAATAGGCTAAAGTCCCAAAAAGTCGGAGTGTTCCTTTAAGGAAGCCTTTGATAGCCCATATCATCTCCATTGGTCTCTCCAAGTCCATGCATTAAAAGCACATTGATTTCTCATTTATGTGTGTGTCCGGTGGGGGTCTGGCACCTTCTGCTAAACAGCTGTGGCTCAGTCTAAGTATTGTTTGAGTAACAAAGACGGATCACAAAAAGAACGGAGAAATGGGGAAAAAGAACAAATAAAGTGATCATAGCTAATAGATATCAAATCAGGATCTCGTTGCAAATACACTCAGAGGAGCAAAAAAAGATGAGAATAATTTCCCTTCAGTGAGCTCTCTTTTCTCTCTTTCTTCTTTTGTGCCAAAAGAAGTGTGCCTATGCACACGACATGCACACTCTTAGAAAAAAGGGTTCTATATATGTAGCATAGGGTTCTTTACTCAACTGCAAAATGACAAGAAAGAACCCCTTTGGCACAAAGGTTATTCATAGGCTATTATATATTACATTATTCTGCAATATGTTGTAGTTGTTATTAAATTATTGTTTATTAAACTGTTGTAGTAACTTAATATCACATTTTAATCATGAAGATTTTTGGAGGATAACTGAAATGGCACCCCTCGTGTGATATTGATTAATTACATTTTTTTTAACCCCCATATCTTGAATTTTGTGATCATTCCCATGCATTAAATTCAGATATTTTAAATAATAAAATTTAGGGGTTCAAAATACGTAGCGCTTTAGAACCTTTAAAGGTTATATATTGAACCTTTTCTTCTAAGAGTGCACACACACACACACAACAACAACTGCTGGAGATGCTGAGCTGATATTAGAAACGTCGCTGTCTCAAGGAATTCCCATCAATTCATCCCTCTATCGCTTTCTCACTCACGTCTCTTATCTCCATCTAGGATCCACAGTCATTTACACACACGTACACATTTGTTTCACTAGTGAAGACATTACATAGACTTCCACTGATTATATCAGGTTAATGATATTTTCTTTGGCCCTAAACCTGCTCTTACTTCTAAACCTACCCATCACAGAAACATGTTCAACTCAACACTAGATATAAATAAAAACAAAACATGTTTTGCTAATTTATAAGTCTTTTTAACCAGTAAGGGCCAGTAATACGTCCTCATTAGCCGGTTGTTGTAATAGTTTACTATACATGTGAGGACATTTGACCCTCACATTCTCTAGCAGTTATCAGCCTACGCAACGCTTACTAGCTTGCCTCCGTTTACAGCAAGAGTGGATGTCTATATTTATCATAGTTGCAGAAGTGCAACAAAATAATGCTTGATGATGAACAAATTACAAGGAAGCACAAAAAATGAACACACATAACACGAGTTAATAGAAACAAGAGTTTGTTGTTAGTTGGCAACATAGTCTATTCATTTTATAGCCTGACTTCGTCATACTCCACATTCTAGTCAGATTATGAGGCGTGTCTTCTTAACCGAACCAGGAAAAAAAAAAAAAAAAAAAGATTTTTGTATTGTCTAGCACATGATCGCATGCACATTTGAAAATTATACCACACAAATAAACATATGTATAATACTGATCTTTTTAAACGTTTGAACATGAAGTGAAATGTTGTGTGATTTGTAAATGTTGACAATGTTTGTCCGATTGCTAAACTAACGTGAGTCTGGTGTGCTGTCTTATCAGCCAACTGAAGGCTGTTTAAGAGGAATTTCTGAGGTTGGAGTCAGCACAGTTTTGGTTGGTAACGGTTGCCAAGCAACACTGCTCCAGTCTGTAAGAGTTGGCAGGCAGCACAGTTTCAGGTTGGCAACAACCGCTGCACAATCAAATAGTTTTTTTTTTTTTTTTTTTTTTTTTCTGCTTGCATCTCATTGGCCGACAATTGCCAAACCCATAATATTTAATGAATTCTTCTTTGCTGGCATTTGGCCTCAAACTCCTGAAGGATGTTATCTGTAACAGGCCTAAACGAATTCTTTTTCAGTCTGCTTTGATATAGTTAGTCTTTTATATTCCTCTCACATTTCTCTTTTCAAATGGGATATGAATTATAGAGGAAGTTGACATGACTTTTCTTCTGCATCCGTGTCTGCTCAAATGGTAGCACTGTAGTAATGACAACTCAATTCTGATTGGTTGAAATTGGAATTCTGGGTGTTTCTTTTTTGTTGTTGTTGTTGAGAGATTGATATCCCAGGATGAGGGCTAACAATTTATATCCTTTTTTGTGCACTTTACCAGTCAAAATGGTCACAAATGAAACCAAAGCAAGATGAACCTTTAATTGTCTCAGAACTGTGTTTTTGAACAAGTCATTTGAGTTTGATTCAATAATGACTCTTATTGAGGAAAAAAATGTAGAATTTGAATTTATTTTTTACTCTATACAATGTAAGATCTGTTATGTTTTCCCAAATATCCCAAATATCATAATTTGATGTTAAATGTCATTGTAAGCTCTTATGAAGTTGGAAAAAAATATTAAAGTCATTTGTCGCCACCTAATGGCATAATGATGTAACTGGCAAGAAAGTGTCACTGTTAACTGACTAACTGTTGTGTGATTGAACATATTTAAACATTTTTTCAATGTGATAATTTCTCTTGTAAAAAGATAATTTTCGTTTTTTTTTAATTAAAAGTATTTTCACATTCATTTCACTGTTGTGAATCTCAGCCGTTTTATTACTAGTTGTCACATCAGCAGAGCTTGTGATGGAGCTCTTCGCACTGCATCTGAATTAAATGTACAAATGTACTTTGGCAAATCAATTATTACCTCTCTTATTTTCTCTTTTGCATTCTCTCTCTCTCTGTGTGTTACACTGCTGCTTTGTCAATGTCTGAGAAGGTAAAACTCCTATAGATCAGACTAATCAACCAAGTAATTATTCAATTATTCAGTCATTCTACCGTAGACATTTCCTGAGTAACAGGGACTTCAAACTTCTTGTCTGTTTGGATGTGCAGTACACTAGCATGCATTATTAATTTGTTAATGTGTGTATCTTTCAGTTGAAAATGTTCACAGTATACTTGCTACGTTAAACTGACTTTAATTTATCTTTTTTCTGTATAGACTTGTCGAAAAACCGCTTTTGTGAACTCCCTCCTGAAGTGTGTTTGTTTGCGCCGCTGGATTCTTTAAACCTCTATCACAACTGCATAAAAGTCATTCCAGAGGCCATTATAAACCTACAGATGCTCACCTACCTGAACATCAGGTAACACCCACACTATGATGTCTTTGTATGTTTACATCATCTATTTCTAAGACTGTCTTGACATCTGTCTATTATGCTGTTGTTGATCAAGCTGTTATAAAAAAAGAATGTCTTTTGACCGAAACCGCTTTTAAATCGAATTCAGACCCATAGAAATTGCAATTGTTGTTAAGGTTCTTGAGCAGCAAATCAGCTCATTAGAAGGATTTCTGTAGGATCATGTGACACTGAATACTAGAGTAATGATGCTGAAAATACAGCTTTGCAATCACATGGATAAATTACATTTTGATATATTACAAGAGAAAATAATTACTTTAAATTTGTAGTAATATGTCACAATATTACAGATTTTTTATCAAAAGCCTTGGTGAGGCTGCAGAGACTTCTTTCAATGCATAAAAAGATCTTACCAGCCCCAAACAAACCACTGAACAGTAGTGTATTTTTGTCCAGCAACTGTAAGAACTTAATTTTTTTCAGTTGTTGTTTGGGTTTCTCATTAAAGAAAGTGAGAGATGGTATTAAATAGTATTAATTGAAGACTATTGAACCTAATCCTTGTGTTTCGATGTTTTCAGTCGAAATCAGCTGTCCGTTCTCCCCAAGTTTCTCTTCATTCTTCCTCTGAAAGTGCTTGTGGTCAGCAACAATAAACTCCTGTCTATTCCTGAGGAGATCGGAAAGGCTAAAGACCTCATGGAACTGGTCAGTATGTGAAAATACACATGTAATTATTGTATATTATATGTTCGTATATACACAGTACATGTGTTTTCTGTGTTCAGGACATCAGCTGTAATGAGATCCAGGTGCTTCCTGCTCAAATGGGGAAACTACTCGCGCTACGAGAGCTCAACATACGTAGAAACTGGCTACAAGTGTTACCGGATGGTATTAACAGATATATCAACATAAGAATCAATCGGATAGAACTAAAAAAGCTTAGCTTGATATAAATTCACATTCAACACATTCAGTGTTTATGCTAGTTATGCTACTTACGTTGAGATAGGAAGGAATTTCTCATATCTTTTACTTTTCCTCTTTCCTTCTCCTTTACTCTCTCACAGAATTGTCTAATCTGCCGTTGATTAGGTTGGATTTTTCTTGTAATAAGATCACTGAGATTCCCATATCTTACCGCAAACTTAAGCAGTTACAGCACATCGTTCTTGACAACAACCCCATGCAATCTCCTCCCGCCCAGGTATTTCAGTAGTGTACTCATCTGTTACTGTGTATATGTTCACATATGTGGCACTGAAGCTGAAGACTTGCTTGAGTGTTGTTCCTGTCTGTTGGTAATTTATTTTATGTTGGTGCCATCCAGTGGCTGGTATTGCGAAATACTTAAAATATCAAGCATATTGATGCAATATTGATAGTATTTAATTTTTTTTTTCTGATCTTACTTGGGGTACCACAATGCCCCCTCAAAAAATAACGTATTCCCATTCTGGGAAAAAAAACTATTACAGTGTCCACAATTCCTTTTGCAGAATAACTCTTTTCAACATTTATAATAATAAGAAAACTTTCTTGAGCAGTAAATCAACATATTAGAATGATTTCTGAAGGATCATGTGACACACATCTAAATTTTTGGAGAAATATAATTAAAATGGTTTGGTTCCAAATTTTGAGTAATTTCAATTGTCTTAGATGTTCAAGGACTTTAAGTGAACTTCAAAAGTTTGAATCACATTTCAAGCATAATTCCTGCATTGCGTATAATTTGTGTAAATAAATAGGCTACTCAACCCCCCCAAAACACAGCGAACTTGTGGTGCTTGGCCTTTTTGCCATCACAGTGGTAAAAATCTCCCATCGTCACAGCCCCAATCAAACCACACTTTTCATTTTCCAGTTTGATAACTAAGGATCCATGGGACCCATCAGATGTAAATCAACTGATTAAATTCTTGTTTCACAGACGGTGTGGTGTGCTGATATGTAGGATCACGTTGTCTTAGTCACAGTGTTATCAAAGCAAAGAACTGTGTCCTGAGAACTCAGATTTAATCTTATGCGCATAATATCCTTCATCTTTTAGAAAATGCGAGCTGTTGAAAAGGGATTGGTCCTTTTTCCTCTTCAACTGTAAAACCTTTTGACAATCACGTAAAAATGCTTATCGTTTTGTTCTGCCTGATAAGTTGATTAAAAAAAACAAAAAAAGCAGATCATGTTTTTCCTGACTATGGCTTGTCTTGCTCAGACACGTAGTTGTGGAGCCCAGCATGTTCTGCCCTTGACTGAAATTCATTTTGGATTTGTTTGGAAAGAGAGAGAGAGTTTTTTAAGAAGAATTATGTCAATGATATGTTAGCACATTACAGTAATAAAAAATAAGGTTATATTATCTTATCTTTTAATGAAACACAAGCAACTCATTTTCATTAAATGCCTATGAATCCAATCTTACATAAATTTTTGCATTAGACTTAAAGTGATTATTTACATGAGAGTGAATATTGACTAAATATAATGTCTGTCTGTCTAATATGAATGTATGTATGTGGTGCATTTAAAAAAGTTTTTGAAAGTCTTTTATGCTCACCAAGGCTGCATTTATTTGATATAAATACAATAAAACAGATACTCTAAATGTTGTTACAATTTAAAATAACATTTGAATGTATTTTAAAGTGTAATTTATTCCTGTGATGTCAAAGCTGTATTTTCAGCATCATTACTCCAATATTCATTGTCACATGATCCTTCAGAAATCATTCTAATATGGTGATTTGCTGCTCAAAAACTTTTATTATCAATGTTGAAAACAGTTGTGAAAATAGAAATTTCAAAAGAAGAGCATTTATTTATTTCAATTTATCAATATTCATGTTTTTCATATATTTATAAAATTTCATGTTTTGTAAAATTCTTGTCGGTTTTAGATACATTTTTCTTCCTTGCTTTCAGATCTGCCTGAAGGGAAAGATCCACATCTTTAAATATTTAAACTTGCAGGCATGTCGCCTGGATAAAAAACCAGACACACTTGACCTGCCTTCTTTGGGAAAGCGCTGCTTACCTCAGCAGCTAACAGACAGGTAACTACAGCAGGGCTTGATGAAAATCAATTGGTTCACTCCGTGCAGAATCAGTATTTTAACATTTCTGTTCTGCTTACCTTCTGTAACATTACAGTTCAGAAAACAGTTTTATTAGAAAAAATACAGATTAATAACGTTATTTTTTAACAATTATTTCCCCCCTATACTTTATACCAGACCTTGAATAGAACTATATTCCAAATAGCTTTATACTAAAGTATAAATAACTCTATACAAACCATTCGTTCAAAAGTCCTTTGGTTCTGCCTTGAATTTGTTTGAGACTATTTTGTTGGTGGAACAATTGCAAAATAACTGGCAAATTGTGTTTAAAATCTTACTCAAATTAATATATTAATTTGATATTCAATATCTATTCAACAATATTACTTTTGCTTACTACTTTTTTGCTTTTCAGTAGATTAAAAAATCAGCTGAATTAGAGATTTTTGTGGGTAAAAGGGTAGGGGACCTGCTCGCATTTTCTGTAGACAAAGCGTGCCTGGAATTCGGGCCGGGTTACTCTCACGTGATCCTGAGACCCTGGCCGGGGGGGCCTTCTGGGACCAGGGGGTGAACCTGCAAGTGCTGCTCCCGGAGTAGGCTAACCCAGTCTTGGCACAGCTCTGTCCAGTACCTGCTCTCTGCACTTATGTAGACAGAACACAATGTTTAGGACCTCAGACCAGCTCTTCGTCTGTTATGGTGGGAAGCTGAAGGGAAAGGCTTTCTCCAAGCCAAGGCTCTCTCACTGGATAGTGGACGCCATTGCTTAGGCATACCAGCAGCAAGGTTGACCGTGCCCCCTTGGTGTGACTGCCCACTCCCCCCGGAGTGTGGCATCCTCTTGGGCTCTAGCGCATGGCTCCTCGCTAACAGACATCTGCAGAGCTGCAGGCTGGACAACACCCAGTGCCATTGTCCTCCAAGAAACGTCTGCATATTGCCGGTCGTTCTCCTTTTATACCCACGCGGTGGGGTGGAGTTGCGCCATGCAAATTCTGCAGGCCCATGGCATTTCCTTGCCATTGGCGTGTTTTATTTCTTTCGATGATGAGAGGCTTTTAAGCGATCCCCATTCATCAACATCCTACATAATGTTTCCTTTCCCTACTCAGGGAACTAGGGTTTCATCCCTAACCGAGACGGCCTAATGTGATGACTTTTAAGTAGTAGCGAAGGCTTGTACATTTCTTTTAAACCTATCAGTGGTAGCTCACAAATCTGGTAGCTCACCAGTTTCACACAGAAGAGGATCTTCGGGACACAACATTTCCGCAATTGGCCAATGACTACTGTATAAAAGTGTTGTATCTTTCAAGTGTTTATTATTTCATTGAATTTATCCTCATCCAACTCTAAGTGTAGTGAAGGGAAATTATGTTGTGCGTCTAATTATCTCTTGCTTTGCATGAATATGTGTTTGTTTGTGTAGTATGGAAGATTTTTATCCCAGTAAAAACCATGGCCCTGACTCCGGTATTGGCAGTGACAATGGGGACAAAAGACTGTCAACTACAGAGGTAAACACACAGACACATTAGTTGTATACATATATAGTTAGTGCTGCAAATGGCTCAAATTGAGTTTTTACTTGATATAATAGAACAAAAATTTGAATGAATTCTGCCTGACAATCAAAACAGTAGACAGAGGCCCTGTTTACACCTGGTATTAGGATGTTTTGGTCGATCGGATCACAAGTGTAAGACTCTAAAACAGGCGTAAAGGGGGTCTAAAACTTTTCAGCTTTTCCATTTTCAACCACTTCCAGACGTAGTCAAAAACGCATTAGACCAGATTGATTTCTTGGTGTATTCATTACTTCAATGAGCTCATTGTTTCTGCCTTAAATGATTACATTGTTTAAATGAATACATTTTTATCTAACTGTAAATTTGTATATGTACATTTCTGAAATACATAACTTAGACAAAACAGATCACTCTAAATTGTAATTCTAACTCATGCATTTTTTGAAAAGCTGCTTTGAAACGATGCGTATTGTGAAAAGTGCTATACAAATATGCTATACTAATAAATGTAAATTGAATTGAATTGGTGTAAATGTTCCTGTGGTCGAATGTGTTTCGCACAGTGACAAAAGGCCACCTGTTCTCCGCCTACTGACCTTAGCACAATGTTCTCTCACCATTCTTAATTTCCAACACGCGTTCAGTTGATCTTGAGCATATCAGAGCAGAACCGTTCAGCGTATGATTTGCCGTCATCTCCATCCACGTTCATATGTAAATCGCGCAAGCTTATTTTGTTCATTAGATTAAAAGATCTGAAAAACCCATACGTTTACCCACCCATAGACCCCTCCCTTGAAGAAATCAGGACAGAAGTGGTTGAAAGTGGACAAAAGAGACAGATTAAAATAACAGGTCTAAACGGGTATGTCTCTCAATCTTCTACTTGTGATCTCATCAACCAAATCACATCTTAATACCAGTTACAGGGCCGGAGGTGGGGTGAGTTAAGATCATAATTAGGTGGGCTGTGCACACCTGTGAAACTTGACCTGATCTGGATATTCAAGAAAGACGATCTAAAACAAGTAGCAAAATAGAGTAAATACAAAGACTATAAAATAACATAAAACGCTAATAAAAAAAAACGCTTATAAAAATATAAAAAATATTTCCCTTGTATTGTTTTTTTTTTCTTCTCTCACTCCTGTTCTCTATGTCATTCCCCAGCCATCTGATGATGATACAATGAGTCTCCACTCTCAAGTTTCTGAGAGCGCACGGGCTGACCCACATATACTTCTCACAAAGCTGGACTCAAACAAAGGTGTGCTTTCAGCATTAGTAATATTGGGCATAGGTTATAATTCACAATTGTGTATTTGGTTGTTTCTTTGATAGTGATCAATCCAGGATTATGTGTATTGTGTTACATTAGATATTCCGGTTTGCTGTCTCCTTTGTTACTTGGAAACTTGGATTTGTTTTCTCCACAAGACACCATAGTAATGGTGACAAGATAAGAGACAGGATTCTACAAAATACATTAACATTGTTATATCCATTACCATGCTAAACTATTCCTAGAGTTGTTAAATTTACATAATTTATTAAATTGACATAATTTTATGCTTAATTAAAGTTAAGCTTTAGAAATATATACAATTTTAAATATATTAAATTTTATTCAGCATTAAAGTTGATCAATAATAAGAAATGTTTCTTGAGCACCAAATTGGCATATCAGAATGATTTCTGAAGGATCATGTGACACTGAAGTAATTTCACCTTTGCCAACACAGGAATACATTATTTAAAAAAAAAAATATTCAAACAGTTACTTTAAATTGCAGTATCATTTCAGTTTGATCAAATAAATGCAGCATTGGTGAGCATAAGAGCCTTCTTTAAAAAACAATAGAAAATCTTACCGACCACAAATGATTGAACAGGAGTGTACATGTCAGACAATTTCAAAATCAGTGCATCCCTAAAAGTGAGTGAATTCAGACTCTTGATATCTCACTAGATATTTCTGCACTTTGTGTCCAAATCACACACCAGAAGTGATTTTCAAAATATTTTTAAAAATGTGATTTTCATATTTCAAAATGCCTATTTATGAGGTAAGGTTTTTTTTTTTTTTTAGCTGTGCAACCAACTGAATTAGAAACCGATTATTTGTGTCCTGTTATCCTGCAAAGCCTTAGTGAGCCATAAAACATATGTGCACAGTTATCAGACATCTAATTCACCTGTTGCGTGCAGACACTTCCTGTTCTTTCTGGCATTAAATAGTGTTATAAAAGCCAGTACTTGTTAGTAATTAAATGAACAACTCCATGAATTTACTTCTTTATTCAGAAAGGCTTGATATGTCATATATTTCTGTAATTATGTTGTCTGTTCACTTATGATTGTCACCACTACTTAAGTCATGACGGTAACACTTTACAAGAAGGTTCATTAGTTAACAATAGTAACTAATCATGAACTAACCATGAGCAATACATTTGTAACAGTATTTGTTAATCTTTGTTGATGTTAGTTAATAAAAATAAAGCTGTTCATTGTTTGTTCATGTTAGTTCACAGCATATTAACTAATGTTAACAAGATTTTAATAAAGTATTAGTAAATATTGAAATTAACGTTTACAAAGATTAATAAATGCTGTATAAGCGCTGTACATCATTAGTTCATTCTAACTAATGTAGTTAACTAATGTTAACTAATGAACCTTATTGTAAAGTGTTACCGTCATGACATACTAATATGCAAAATCCCATTCCCTAGAAGACATAACATAATGAACAAGCTTTTGCATTGCATACCAGAAATTTTTTTTTCTGTTGTGCATTGAAGATATAAAACATAATTTCTGTTTGTTGACTTTTGATTGACACCACTACATATTTTTACAGTCATGACTGACTGACATGCAAACCCACGCCTTAGAAACATCACAAAAAAAAAAAAAAAGACAAATAAAGTCTCTTAGTGAGAAGTAGCTTGTCATCCGGTATGTAGTTGGCAATTACAGTATAAGTTTACAGGAATGAAAGTGTCTCACCTTAGTGTTCTCATGTCAATTATCTGCAGATCAGGAACCATATGACTTTATTGACCCAAATCCAGATGAAGAGGCTTCTCTGTCTGAGGGAGATCTACAGCACAATGCACCCTATGTTTCGTGTATAAAGGTATGCTTAAACATTCACACAGATCCATACTCCTGTGTACTTGCTTTTTAAAATCCGTATCTGATAAGTAAAGACACCACATGCATGTACATGTGTACATAAGCACACAATATAAAAGAGCTTCCCCTCTCATCCTCAGGAGTTGGAGCGGGTTCTGAAAACACACCAAAGCAAAGACAAAGAGAACTGGAAAGAAGAGTCTGGGTAAGTCTGACTGGTTTTATGGGAGATATTCTATAGGGAACATTCCTATACTTTTGTTTTCTGCACAGATTTAGATTACAGTACATCCATTATGATAAAAGTTGCCTTTGCTACACTTCCTGACTGTAAAAAGTCTTCAAGTGTGTGTATTCAAGGACATTCAACCCATTTATGGAATATAGCTGTGGTCATAAACAGCACTACTAGAGGCATGAAAAGAATCGTTCCAAATTTGGGGGTTGGTAAGATTTGTTCAATGTTTTTGAAAGAAGAAACAATAATGTTTTGAAATATTACTTCAATTTAAAATAATTATTTTCTATTTTAATATGTTTTTAAAAAGTAATTTATTTAATGTGGTGATTGTTACCAGACAAATGAAACCTGAAAAGGCTGCAATTTAAATACAAATCAAAAGAGGGAAATAATGACAAACACCTGTGATAAAAAAGTAATCACCATGACGACTAAAGAGTGGTGGGAAACTGAACTAAGGAACACAGAGTAAATTGGAAAATCAAAGTAAAAAATTAGCATGCATTTAACAGCGATTTCAATACCTGCATATTGATCGCGTCTCCCTATTGCCTGCAAACGCAAAATCCATCTCATATTTTTATCCAATACCATGTCCCTTTAGGGGCTCCATAGAATGTGTAATTTCCTCTGTAAACTAATATTCAGCTTTGGGCACATCCCTAATCCCTAATGCTTAATAAAAGTATTAATTTCTTTTAAAACCCTCAAACTTTTGAACAGTAGTGTGTAAGCATAAATAACATGCTGACACGTGTTCTAGTTTGAGGTCCAAGCTGCTGACACAAAGGTCAATAGTTTGGGTTGATGCATGAATAGAGCTTCAAGAAGACTTCCTGTGTGAATGTGAGCTGATGTGATGTGCTGTGTAGTATTTCACACCGGATGAAGCCTCTTTAGGAGCAAAAAGTTTAACCATATTGAAATTATTAACAAGACATGAAAACTCTTGAAACTGCTCAATGATAGATTTTTTTTAAAACACACAAAGTGTGTAACCTTTTACACAGAGTGCATTTTTGTTTAAACAGTGCAGTGGAATGACCAAAAAACGCAAAGTCTAGACATGTTTGAACTGTGCTTTTAGAAGGCTTGATAAAAACACAGTCAATCATTCAAACATGTATGTCTACACGTATTTACTAAGAAAACAAAGGCAGCGCAGTGGAATGCAAAAATGTGGTTTGTGTGAACATAAGCTTAGTCAAACATAAGCTTAAATGCCACTCAGGTTTTGCATTATGGCTTTAGTATTTTACATGAATTTCTGTTCCATGCAGCTGTGCGCTTTGTCACTGAAGAAGGTTTTGATGTGCTATCTAGAGCTGATTATTTCTATAAATACATCTGATACAGTGTGTGTCACAGAAAAGGAAGGACAGGAAAAGTGACAGGCATGCATGTTTTGTACAAGCAAGTTACTCAATTTTTCCCCATTATTTTCCTTTTCACTAGATTACTTAGAACAGGTGTGGCACATTTTCCCTGAATTACATCACCTTGTCTTTCATAGTCAACAAACCACCATTGTTTCACAACGTAATCTGACGTGACATGACATGATATTATATCTTAATATAGTTTTTTGTTGTTGTCAAAAATGTCAGTAGCCAGTGCCAACATAAGTTACATTTCTTTTCTTCAGTACTATCACAGGTTTGATTCTTTGTCTGAAACTTAACGGTCAAATAGGGCTGAAAGGTAAGAGAGTCTTTAGGGCGGCTTGTGTAATGACTGTTTTTACACTTGGGATACTTAAATGCTTCACTCCTCAATTAGCAGTTTCCCCCATGTAATTGGGACTAATTTATGTGCTGTAGTGTACATAGACAAAAAACTCTCACAACCCTGTCGGGTTCTGCTGTTGTGCGCAGTTGCTCTCCACCAACTGCACTCATCAAAAGCATGATGGGGAAACAACTTGCTGACGACACATTGGTTTAAACAACCGTGATGTATTGTTCTCTTTTTAAATGTTTGATTTTAACTCCGTTATAACTCCGTAGGTTATGTGTGAATAAACTCCCCACTTTTAGTTCCCCACTGCCTATTAGCTACGCAATACCAAGTGTCCGTTCTCGAAAGGGAACTACATATTTTCCTTTATGCACCTGAAATGCTTTTATTTAATGGCAATTAGTATGATATTGACAATGGTAATAGTTTAAAAGTTTTTAAATTTTTATTTCTAATCATAATTTGATGACATGAACTGTATTTATATCTCAGGAAAGAGTAATAGTAGGCTAATTGTGGAAAAATAATAAATGGAGCAAAAATCTCCAAACTGTGCAGCAGGATTGTGACAGTGTGAATTACCAATCTTTTCTTATATTGACAGTTGTTTGTTTCATGTGGGTTTTTTTTCCATGGGTATTTTTGTCACCTTTGTTACAAGCTCTTACCTTGGAATTCTAGAGAAGTTAACAAAGGGAGGAAGTAATGCAGTTTTATGTAGATGTCAGGAAAATTCCCTTGCAATCTGGTGAATTGAGTTCAGAACCAAAAAAAAAAAAAAGAAGTTCCAGGGTTATGGCACACCTCACACATAGTTTAGATACGGTCTTGATCTCATCTCATTTAGATTCAGACAACTGATATCTGGGTAATTATGGGTGGAGCCAGAGGATGGAGGATTATTTCATATTTTATGACTGTCTAATTCATCACATTAAAGGGAAAATCGCAGATCGATCTGCAAATCGCCATCAAAAATTTGTTTCTCTTTTAAGTCCATTTCTTAGTTAATTATTTATTCATTGAGCAATTATTATACATTTTGGTTTAGATAAGTGTCAAAATAATAAATGAGGGAAAATTCACAAAACATCTGGATACTTTTCTCAGCAATACACTAAAATAAATACAATATCGCAGCTGCATCTATTGGCATGTAATAATGACGCACACTCCCATACATCAAAACTTGTTCATGACTGCCTGTGCCAACCTTTTATGACATAAGTCACAATTTACGTATCTGATTTGTTTTACCTTGGTAATCCAGAAGAATTATTTACTGTACATCCATATTGTGGAAAGATTCCGGATTCCTAATATAATGGGTGGAGCCAGAGAATGGAGGTTTATTTGCATTTTATTTATTTTTTGCAGTGCAGCCACACTAACTGTTGGTCAACAATAATCAACTAATTTAATTATATATTAGCACTATTCGGATACACTTTGCTAAAAAATGTATATAAATGTCAAAATGATTAAGGAAGGGAAAAATGGAACATTCACAGGAGTTTTTATACCTTTCATGTGGCGGAGTCTCCATTTTTTTTTTCCAGAGAATTCCCAGATTCTGTAGAATCCAAAGGTCCAACAGAAACTAAAATACTTGAGTCATCGGGTAAATTCCGAGTTACTAGCCATACTTGCGGTTATGTGGTGTTCCTGTGATGTATCCACTTGAGTAGCTGTTTGTGCTGTTGGGAATGCTGTTTTATAGGCTTTTACATTGGTGGATGAGAGGAACTTCTTATATGGTAAAACAAAAAGGGTGGTGCCAAACCATGGATTAAATGTGGTTTGTGATTTTTTATATATATATATATATATATATATATATATTTGGATGGCCTCAGCAGAACCTTTTCAATCAATTATTTACTTTTCTTCCCCAAAAAGCTTTTATTTCTATTAATTTGCCATATAAATCTATTAATTTACCATGCTAAGTTCGCAACTCAAATAATTTATATCACTGCTAAACATACATTACAGAAAATTATTACCAATGCAAAATTGTTCTAAAATGATGAAAAAATACATTCATTTTCAGAGAGCATTCAAAATTTTAAATTATCTGTCATGGAGGATGGAGTTATGTCTGTAGTTGTTATGTCTGTCTTTCAAGTCGTTCCAAACACACAAACTCACACAGAAAATTGTGCCTTGTTGATGGGAGATGCTTGACAAAACTAGCTAAAAAAAAAGCCTTCCAGCCTTCTGTCACTTGTAACAAAAACACCTTGTAATTTGCTCAGTTAATTGAAATGAGATTTGCTTTTGATGTCTCTCACTGGCTGTAAAGTTGTAATAACATGGTTGTATAAGTACATGCCATGTTATCCATAATAACATGGCACATGAAAGAGCAAGGTAGCAGAGATAAATGTACTACAAACTACCCAAAAGTATGTGGACACCTCCATTCTAATTACCAGGTTTGGCTATTCCATTAGTTACAGTGAAAAATAATGTCTTGTCATATAATACAAGGACTAGAATTGTGCAGCTTTGTTGCTGCAGTTTTGGGAAGCTCCTTTTTCTGTTCCAAAATCAAAATACAATACAAATTGTATTTAAGAGTCTGTCTGGTGTAGAATAAGCCCAGATGTGAACCCCATAAAACATCTTTTGGAATGAAAAAAAGCAGATATTGATTACAGTTCAAGAGGAGTGCAGCATCTACCAGTCTACCAAACTACCAGTGTTTACAGCTCTTGTAAGATGCAGTATCACATCTGCTAGGCTTGCTGGGGTAGTCTGTGCTACACTGTGTTTGGCAGTACACCGACTACATTACCGATTACCCACAGTCATTTTGCTTTTTTTTTAAATAGAAATAAAAACCATTAGTTCAGTCAACAGACCGTACAATTTTAAAATAAAAGCCTCTGCTCTGCAGTCTCAGCACAGTGCAGCAGGAGTCTTGTCACTTGTCAGTCATATCTCCTTATTCTTGAAGAATACAGATCATATTTATTTTGCATAAGCATGTTTCACAATATATGCATTACACTTAGGAATAACGGTACAATGCTGCACATATTTTTTTTTTTTTACACTTGAAAGGCAATTTACACCTTCTCTTGCACATGCAAATTTTATTTCTCTATTTATTTATCTCTCTAAACCTCCGCATGCGATTCTTTATGGTGTCATATTACCTTCGAATAAATGGAGGTTGGAGCAGGCTTCACTCAAAGTTTATATCTCAAATTGTTTTAAGAGTGCTGGCCTAATAATGACAATGCATGTATGGAAGAGAGAGGCCGCACTTTGCATATACAGTTTTATTATACACGTTATATATATATATACGTGTATAATAAAACTGAATATGCAAAGTGCGGCCTCTCTCTTCCATACATCATATTACCTTCATAATGATGGCAGAGGATTTGGTGCGCAACAGATCTTGAGCGTCATTGACAAATATCTTATCTTGTAAATTGTGCAGACAGTACCGCCACTCCCTATTCACAAGCCTCTTTTCCACCAAAGCATTTTGAGAGCCAGTTCGGAGCCGGTGCCTGCGCGCGAACCAGTTCTTTGTGTTTCGACAGCCAAAGAACCGGTTCTCGGCCAGGAGAACTGGTTCCAAAGCGGCACCAACTCTTTGCTGGACTAGAACCGTTCTTTTACCACGTCATGCTTACGTCGGGGGCTGGGGCGGGTTTAGATGTGTTCTAAACATCTTTTCTGACCATAATAAAGGATCGCAAAGCCAAGAGAAACATTTGCAGAAACACGATGGAGTCCGCCTTTGTAATTGTTATGCTTGAAGTTAACGCAAGCGTTTCTATTTTTGTAAAAAAAAAATTATTGAAGACATTATAAGCTAAGAAGAAAACAGTCACAATATACTGTAGAACAAATAAATGGAAAGAAAAAAAGACACAAGACAGGGGTACATAACTTATCAGAAAAGATTACATACCAAACATAAAGATTAAAAGACTTACATATTTCAATTGTTTTCAAATCTTTCTCGGTACACGAGTTAGAGATAATCCAAAAGTAATGTTGTACTTGCAAGCGTATCTAGCTAAGAGGTATGGCGACGTACACAGCGACGTAACGACGTCGTTCCCTGGGCGCTCTAGTCAGTGGAAAAACAAATAGGTTCTGAAGCGGTTCGCAAGTTGAACCAACTCCGAACCAAGTTTGAACCAGCACCAGTTCCGAACCAGTTCTTTTTTTTGGTGGAAAAGGGGTAACAGAGTACACATGATCACATCACTGTTTTAACATCACTGTTATTCAACTATGATTTCCCCTAGATTTTAGGGTTAATTTATGGTTAGGGTAAGGTTTAAGGGTAAGAACAGGGTTAGGACAAATTATTTTTTACTTGAATGTGTTTCCAGGATCAATAAAAAAAATGTATATACCGGTGTGAAAATTTCCTCACCGTGACATCCCTAACATCTGCTCAAAGGCTTCATTAAGGTCCTGTACCATGACTCCTTGTATCATGCTAACATCTGCAGGACTTGCCAAAAACACAGTATTTTTTGCATTAGTAAATTCCGTAATGGTCCGCCAGAAATGAATTAAACACATTATTGCATTAATTTATAGCCACATTGGTTTTATATAAATATGATGTGATATTTCTAAACAGTATATGCTTGTATTAATTCCTTTAACTTCACAGACACTGAAATGCTATGTTAGCAACTTAATTTTGAATAACAACTGTGTAAGGATTTGTTTTTAACGGTTTGATGTATATTGTGTACAGTTTAAGAATTCAGCAATAACCTCCTTTTGTCTCTTTCTTTTTTTTGTCTTTCTCTCTCATCTACTTCAGCTCAGAGAAAGAGCAGTTAGTTGAAGAGGAGGAGGATGACTTGAAGGAAGTGTTGGATCTGAGGAAGATTGCAGTACAGCTGCTACAACAAGAGCAACAGAACAGGTGATCATTCTTTCATGCTACTTTAAATCACACATGGTCATGCAACCTTCAGAGCCCATCAAACACGTATACAGTAAGTCCCTCTGACTCCATGTAATATTAGGGCTGTCAATCGATTGAAAAAATCAAAACAAAGACTTGCACTGACTACACATTATAAAATATATTTATATAAAGGGGCTGTTCTAGGGTTATTGTATATTTGGGGCTTAGACTAGGTGTATTTGGCACCATTAGCATTAAACATTGGAATATTATATACTTTACAAATAAATGTTGACGTTTTACAATTCCAAGTTATAATTTTAAAAAAGTAAATCTATCCCCAGAGATACAACTGAAAAATCCCGCAAACTGTCTTTACCTCAAAAAAATGATTCAAAACACTGAAGTTAAAAAAATTATAAAGATATTTGTCCTTTTAGGCTTCCTATAGTCAGCTGTATGTTGTATAAGGTAACAGTAGACACTCATTTGAACTTTTGTAAATGAGTTAGCAGATGGTTTAAATGATTGCTTCAAAGATTAATATAGTTCCTTAATTTACCAAAGTTTGTCGCATCATGTCGTAAGAAAGGTTTTGCAAGAACTGTAAATTTGCAGACTTGTGTATAATCTACTTTGTTATCAGAGTTATGTCTGGAAATTATTCAGTGCTGGATTACAGGCGTGAATCCAACTCTAACCTAAAAGCTAAAAAATCTTCTAGGGGTGTCAAACTGAGTTCCTGGAGGGCCACAGCCCTACAGAGTTCAGTTCCAACCTTGCTTCAACACACATACTTGTAGTTTTCAAATAAGCCTGAAGGATTTGCTGGAATAGGTGTGTTTAACTAGGATTAAAGCTAAAATCTACATGGCTGTGGGTTTTGCACCACTGAACTACTCTATTTTCTTCAGGGTTGTCTGCAGAACTAAAGGCTCCCCAGTCATTTAAATGAGTGCTCTTTGTCACAAAATAAATTAGTCGAATTCTATGCATTAAAGGCAAATTTAAAATTTGGCTTTGAACTAAATTTCCACATCTAGCACAGCCAGTAAAGGTATGCCAGGGGTCTCCAACCCCAATCAAACAAGAGGTGTAAAGATTACCTGAAACTCAGTTCCTGGAGGGCCACAGCCCTACAGAGTTCAGTTCCAACCATGCTTCAACACACATACCTGTAGTTTTCAAATAAGCCGGAAGGATTTGCTGGAACCATACATTTTCAATGAGTACAGACACCTTACAGCAAAAATTATTTTATTACAGGTTACAAGTCACCAATTCTCATACGACTTGATTAAAAGCTTTACCCCCAGTTTCTCAGACAAGGCTTAGGCTGTGTGTCCACCAAAGCATTTTTCCACGTGCCTGGCGTATGTTTTCAATGGGAGCGCCGCGTTTTTTTAAATGCCATGAGCGTAACAAGGCGCTGAGCGTTTTTTTTTTTTTCACGCTGAAGCGCCGAGCGCCTGGCATTTTTTACTGGTCGCCGAGAGTTGAAAAATGTTCAACTTTGGATAAAACGCAGCGCTCATCACTGTCACTTTTTACCCAGCCGTCCAATCACAGTGAAGGAGGGGCGGGACTAATACCGCACTGACCAACTGTCACAACATTCTTTCTGTACATCTACATCAGCCAACAGAGCTAAACGAGAAAAATGGATGAAAAATACATTTTTGGTATAAAACAAATAATCTGCGAAATCAGTTACAAATAAACTGTGCTGCGGATATTCTGTATCACAGCAACGATACGTCTCAATGGAAAAAAACGCTGCACTGACAAAACGCTCTCAAGCGCCCAAAGCACGGCGTCTTCAGCAGAGCGGCTACTTTAATGCCCTAATTGAACTGAACCCTAGTCCTGGCTTAATCTAAGCATTGTCTGATTAACCGGGCCTTAGAGTATCTGATTTTAACAGTATAGTAGGCCTACTTAAAGCTACAGTCCGCAGTTTTTCCTCTTTGTCTCTGTTTGTCTTCCTCTATCTATGTTCGAAATCTGCAGTTTCAGTCATTCGCAGAATTATCAACTTTACGTGAGTTCTACTTCGACACCCTTGACACAACACAACGTGGATGAACACAATGTTTGAGAAGTCTGTGAGGCTGTCAGCCACCGCGCCGATGTGGATACTAGCATTCAGAATCATAGATTATTCTTTTTTGAAAGTATAAGCAACACAATAATTTTCACCAGAAAATGTCATCTGAACAAGTGAACATCCACTTTTGTTCTGGTTTCACGCTGATTAAATATAAAAATCGCTTGTATCTCGCAAAACCATGCAAATGATATTTTGTTCTCAAATAGTTAATATTAACAACGTCAGCATTGCGTGACTATATTTAATGTCCTAAGAAACATACCAGTGAAAAATAAGAAACAGTTGATTTGTGAGGAGAGCAATCACGTTTATTTTCGCAAAATCAAAATATAACCGTCTTTTCCGAATAAAAGAGCAATAAAATAATATAAAGTTAAAATAAATAGTGAAAGCCTACAAGCAATGGACGTGCTGGTTTGGGCCTCATCAGCAGCTTCAGGCATGGTCTCATATATGAAACACCTGCGATTCACAACTACTTGCTAATATACTCGCATTCACGAAGAGTTGCTTTGTTGACAAGTTAGGGTGAGTCAGGGCAAAACGTACAAGATTTTGTAGCAGAAATAAACTGCTGTAGAAAAAGTTAGGTACCATGCAAAATGTAACAAGTACATTATTCATCACAAATGTACTGGAGAAAAGATTATACTTATTCAAAAATGTAGTAGAGTAACTCCGGAAACTATAGACCATTTCACAAGATGTAAACAACACTGGTCCAGAAGCACTTCCTGTTTCAGTTTGTAACTGTTTTCTTTATTTCACATGTAAAGAAAACATCTTAAAGATGTTTGTTTAACTTTTTGATTCAGTTTTATATGTTCTGTTGGTTGTATTTTATCCCAGCTTTTTGTAGTGTTAAAAAACTGAAACAGGAAGTGCTTCTGGACCAGTGTTGTTTACATCTTGTGAAACGGTCTATAAAGTAGCCAAAAAGGTAAATGCACCTGAAGCAGCTTATCAAGGTGTTCATGGTTACTTGAAAATTACAGGCAGTGGTGGAACTGAGGTCTGCTGGAGACATATGAGTTATGCTTTTATAATTTGTATTATTGAAATGAATTCTACTAAATGAAAACTGTAAATTGTCATCCCAATATAATGTAGACATATCTTTTAAAATACGCTACTGCTCTGTTTTGTATTCACCTTTTCTTTCTATTGAACCTCCTCCTAATACCTCCTATGACTGCTCTTTTTCATTGTAATATGAGAGATTCAAAGATGAAAGCAAGATTGACAGTTCCCATTCAAAACTATCATCCATGCATGCTGCATCTGAAGGAGAGAACGGCTGTCAGATGCATTGAATTAATTCAATCAGACACACTATTTACTAACAAATGAACCATATTCCTCCCCCTCTTTCTCCTTCCTTCTCCTTCTCCATCCCTTCCATTTCCACCTAATCCTGGGATCTGATCGATACACACATGACGTTTGACTCTCAGGAGGCGGTCCCTAATTTGTAGGGCAGAGAGTCTAATTCACCGTAGAAGAGCAGCGGGGAGAGCTCACAGGTAGAAGGAGAGCTGTGTGTGTTTATCTGTGTGTTTATTTCAAATAGTGGATATACTGTGTTATACTGTATCTGATATGGGTGTATGACGCATGTCCAGTACATCTGGTGTCTGCGTGTTGTGTGTTAGTATGTATTTACGTGCATGCCCTGGCTTAATGATGTCAAAGTCAAGTGTTGCAATCTCAAGTGTTGTAAATGTTTCAAAATAGTTTCCCACGTTCTAATATTGTTGATGTGCAGATGTGGAAACACACTTCTTTTGAATTTGTTGGTTGATTTCACAAAAGAAATTGCATGCAGTTTTGATCGTAAGCCAATGTGCTTTATGGATCATTGGGCAGACATCATGAATTGAGAATGCTCTGAAGTGCGTCTAACCTAGAAAATCATCCAATCAATAATTTTTATTTGTTTTTCAAATCCCATCTTTTGCACTGATTGTATTCACAAATTGTTTAACACTACATATGCATCACATCTTAAATAATGAAAAATGAGCTGAAATTCAATGAAATTCAATTTAAACTAAGGTGGTTTACCAAAAATCTGTTTTTGTCACCTGTGAATGTGGTTTCAGATTCCAGAATTGTTTTCTTTTTTTCTTTTCAGTTCAGAGTACAAAAACGCAATCTTTTGCATGTTTTGAACTTGTGCAATAATAGGGGCTCTCGCACTAGTTCTAGAAACTTAAGGAGCTTTTACACTGGTAGAACCTATTCATAGTTCCTAGATCTATTGGCAGAAGTTCCCAGTTTCTGCGCGTTTACGCCGTAGAATCTAGGAACGAGTTTAGTTCTAGGAACTCCTTTTGGAGAAGCTAATTTAGCTTCAACTTCAGAGTAGGGTCTAAACCAGCACTGTAGTCAACTATCCCTGACGTTAGTGTGTGCTGATTGGCCAAATGCAGGCGAAACACCAGCACCCACCATTCAAGCTTTGTTAACACTCAGATCAGTGTTGTAGTCGAGACCACCTCACTTGAGTCCGAGTCGACACCGAGACCAGAGAGAGTCGAGTCCGAGTCAAGACCGAGTCCATAGAGAGTCGAGTCCGAGACCAGAGACGGTCGAGTCCGAGTCGAGACCGAGACCAGTGAGGGTTGATTACCTAATTTACTTTTATTTTATTTTTTTTTACTTAATTTACTAAGAGTTTTAAAAATATGATCAGTTTAGGGTAAAAAGGCCACATGGTGGTGTTAAAAGTAATTTTATTACAATTTGTCATGCGCAGTTGCGCACTAGAAAATCACCAATCACTGGGCGTGTCAATCAATTTAAAGAAATATTTTATTAACATACATTAATAATAATGAAAAATATTTTTAATTGAACTCGAGTGGACTCGGGAATAATTCGGAGTCCTAAAAAAAAAAATGTTCGAGTACGAGTCAATTCCGAGTCCAAATGCACACGAGTCCATGACAGGACCAAGACCATTAAAATATGGTCTCGAGACCGATTCCGAGACGAGTCCGAGTCTCGAGTACTACAACACTGACTCAGATTATAGCCTATATATTTAATCCAGAAACGAACTATACAACCCCTCTACCTTTACGCTGTGGAGAAAATCCAAATGCTACTTTGAGGGGACCAAGCAAAACATAATTATGTATTTCTGCTCAGCTAGCGACACTGGACATCAACCACACAGCATACGCTAATACCTTTTCATCACTGCCCACATTATATGTTTAACTATGAAGGTAATAGAATGCCATAAAGAATCGCATGCTTTTTTCCACACTTACACTTTTGGAACGTGTTTTTTTTTTTCTTTTTTTTTTCGCACAAATACGGCCAAAAGCACTGCAAGCCTGTGAAGAGTAATTTGCCAACGAAAACAACAGTCAGGAACTGCAAAATAGATTGATCGCATAAAATGAAACTTTGTGTAAAAAAGAAACTGTTGTAAATGTCTAACTGACGTCAAGTCTGTGGAGCTCACTGCATCTCGAAAACAGCACGTTGATTTTGATCCTCGTTTTAGTTATTTTTTCCCAAAGTCTGGTTTGCCACGGTCCATAATGTTTGAACGAAACAACAACAGCGTGCAGCTAGACATCACGCACTACGCAGTTGTCCATGTCGGTTACCATGGTTACTATGGCAGAACGAGACCCGCAGTGACAGTTGCTGTCAGACTCTAAAATGGAGAGTGTCTGGAGTGACGCAAGGAGCTTTGCAACAGAACGGTCTTCCCCACCTTCACCTGAAGTGGAGGAGGATGAATTGTCTGTGGACACAGGGCCATATCAATTAGAGCCGCTGGCTCAAACTGCGGTCTTAACTCCCGCATCGTGACCGGAATCTGATGAGTTTTGTCGAGTTGATGTCAATACCGCACATTCTCTGTAGGCATATATTCATATTGATATTTTGCTGCTATGTGAAAAAATCCAGCAAAATGCGTCGGCGCATTTGTCGACCCCAGAGGATTAACTTTAGCCTAACCATAAATTGTGATTAAAATATACATGCACATCAAAACGCCCCTGCGGAGGTGGAGTCCATGCAGGAGGAGCAGTGTTTGGCACTGCGTTGCTTTTCAGCGTGAGCTGTGTCGAGCACTGTTCTAAATAATACAGATAAATCTATGCTAACTTGAAGCTATCCTAACTGTACTATGCTATTACCTAACTAACTAGGCTACACAAAATAATCAAACTATATAATAACTGTATAAATGCTATGCTAAATAGATGCTAAAATACTCTATCCTGATCGTTTTCAATACTTGTAATTCCAACTCTTGACTCGCAGTGGTTTTGACGAAACCAGATGGTTTTTATATAGAGTGCCGAAGTGATGACTTTGTAGGACAACTCGGAAGCTAGCGGTGCATGGGTTCCCTCGGTCGAAAAGCTATGCATTTTCCCCATAGACTTTTGGAAAAGCTCAAAAAATACGATCTGTGTTTAACAAAGAGTTGTGACTGTTAAACGTTTTGTCTTTCAAGATAATCTTTACAAGTTAATCCAAAATTTATACATTTTGAAGCCTATATATAGATTAAAAAAAAACACAATCAGACACAATAAAGTTTAAAAAGCCACAAGCAGGTTATAACTGTGTGTTCTATGTCATAGATCAAAACGTGAAAATATTTAGAGGCTCTGTTCACCACAGACCTTATTTCAGGCGATTTAGCAAAAACCCATTAAAAAATCTCATAGGCTTTAGAGCGAGGGAACCGGTTGTGCTAAAATGCTAACTTACTTCCACGTTTTGGCCTACAGAGTGACGTCGTAACTTCGGCACTCTATTGAAAGGCCGTGGTGAGCTCATACCAAGGGAGTGGTGAGCTGAATCTGCTTACGTCGCCTGCAACCGCTTACATCTAGTGCCATCACAAACATCCAATAGGAAAATTCAACTGCAGTAGCCACCGTTCAAACTGAATAGGGCAGTACTCAGAAGTTTTTACCCCATATATTGTAGAAATACAATTAATTAAATTACTTTTAATTAATTAAATTAAATCAATTAATTAATCAATTAATTAAAATACTTTATACCCAAATGTCAATAAAGTTACTTGAATCAATGATCAGCACTAATAAAGCCCCATTCTTACAGATCATTAACTAAAAGTTGGTTTACGGTTTAGGTACCCCGCTGTGCATTATTAGGCTGACTATATATGAGTTAGTTTGACCGTTGTGACCCAGGTCTATATGTCACAGTCCTTCGTCTGCACCATCCTGTCTGCGTCTCCAGCACTACACTTCCCATGATCCTCTCGTCTGCACACCTGAACTCACTCCCTCATCAGCCTCCCGTTCAGCGTCCTGTTCATCTTTTTCACCTGTCTTCACCTCATTATGTTTGATGTTACCCGGTGTTTGCTCCTGTTTCCCTGTCTTCCTGCCTGTATTTTTGATTAAACCCGCATCTTCGTACTCCTCTGGACTCCTCCCGTTCCTTCTGCCTACACTCCACCACCACACCCCGTGACACTAAAACAATTGCCTTTTTCATGGGGAGGAATTGTTTATGTCAGGTTTGCTGTCAGGCATGTGTTATTTTTTGTATTTTTTTGTACAAAGATACATTTGTTAAACACCAATACAGATGCAGGAAAAACAAAAGTCTATATTCATTCTCATACTGTGACACCAGCATTAAAAACAATTTCTGCTCCATTTGAAGTGTCAAAAGACAGAATTGTTGTTCTGTTATTGCAGGTTTCTCAGCCACTCAGGGAGCAGCACCAAACAGAGATCCCCATCTCAGACTGTCAGAAGGTATTCTAATGCACGCAAACTCCTACACACATTCTGGTTTCTTAAAAAAAAACCTACTTTATTCACCTTTATTTTCCAATGCTCAAGTAAGCTATTTCCTGTGAATGCGGGTTGTCTGATTCTTTAACCGCTTTAGGTAAGCAACCAGAAGAATAAAAAAAGCACAGTAAAATCTGTTTATTTATGATTATAATATTAAATTAAAATAATACTATAATAAATACTAGTTTGCAATATCAAACAGTATAATGGGACTTTTTAGATAGCTAAGACCCCATAAAACTTAAAACTTTAATACAATTTCAAAAGAAATATCATTACATTTGCGTCTTTATTAGCAGATAATGTATGGTTAATGTACATTAGAAATGTCCTGACACTTCATATATTTTCATTAAAACTTTCCAATAAGCTCCCATATGTTGACATTAGTTAATGCATAAGCTATCATGAAATAACTGAACAATATTTTTACAGCATTTATTGATCATGGTAAATTCATTTTTATAAATGCTATTTTTTTCACTACAAATTAAAGTTAGGTAATGGTAGTAATACTGAAGTATAAATTAATATTACCCAGATTAATAAATAGTGTAAAAATATTGTCAGTTAAACTAATGTTAACATGCTACATATTGTAAAGTGGGTAACATTCACCAATGCATTAGTTTTCATGAATTAACTGCTAAACATTTGACTGCATTTATTCAATTTAATATCAATTAATAAACTGTTGTTCATAGTTAATTTGTGTTTATTGATATAGTGTTAATGTTAGAAATGCATATAGAAGTTAACATGCACCTGAAATGGAACCTTATTTTAAGATGTTGTTCTTATGTGTTACCTTGTTTTTATTCTGTCTGCTAATGATTTAGAATGATATTATGAAGTGTTACTCATTGTAACAAACTATTCAGTATTCATAGAAACAAAGCCTTGCATTTGCGCATTAATTTTATACCGTGAGCATGTGTAGGGTGGAGAATCCAGTTCAGAGTTCAATCTCTGAGCTCTTTGTTGATTTGTGGAAACACCCTTGAAATAAAAAAAAGAGAACTGAGAGGGAGGTGATAACAGGGTATAGAAACTATTGATTTGACGGTTGAACAGGTAGAGACATGAATATATACACCTGGAATAGTTATCCAGTTGAAGAAACAACAGCAGAATTGTTATTTCTTGATCCACAGCCAGGGTCGTTTACCTGACAAGTTTCCGAAACATGAAGCTCAGTCCTAATGATCTGTTAAGTGACGCTCTCATACTACACAGTATTGTTGGCAGCGCTTTGACCCATGGTACTCCTTCCTGATGCATTTTGCTTAGCCTGGCTTTAATTGTTTAGGTCGTTTGCACTTTCAACCTGTCCTGATGCTTGTGGCCTGTATGGCCAGTGAAGATTCCACTTAATCTTCAACATTTTAGACACTTTCTTGACTACCTGTCCTGTGAAGTGTGCACCTTGATTTGAGGCAATGCAATCTGGTAATCCCCATCTGGAAATGAAATCAGCGACAATACATTTAGCATTTATGTGCATCTGTAGCACATCCTGTTGGATAAGCTTCTATCCATCCTGAGAACTTGTCTATTACTACCAAAACGTCAGCTTTTCCCTAACTGTCCGTTCACACCAGATGCGAATAGCGCGGCAAATTTGTGTGTACCGCGTGTAGTTATACGCTTGAACACTTTGAATCCATTCGCGCGTTCCGTTGGTCTCCATCTTTTTACAAGACAAGAACAGTGGCGTATGGATCATCGTCGCCGTATTTGTGTCCACCGGACCCTTTGGAGGCGAACCCAGTTTGGCGAGTTTCACCATTTGCTGCAGGAGCTGCGCCTGGATGACGGCCACTTTCAGCGGTACTTCTGCCTCTCCCGCGGCCAGTTTGATTTTCTTTTTGATTAAATTTTTTTTTTTTGATGATAATTGAATCCACTTCAATCCACACCCGACATTCTTGGTTTGCTTCTTATTTATTAAATCGGGGCAATTGTTTGATTAATCATTGATTAAAATTAAGATAGAATTTATACAAAATGAAATAAATTCTATTTGAACTATTTCTGAAGTGATTATATTTTAAAGAACACTGCTTTCTCACATAACGCAGTCAAGAGAGAAACTGCACGAGAGAATAATTAATTAATAAAATTAATTATGGAGCCATCGATGTCAACAGATTCAGGACCATCACCAAGGACAGGACCGGGGAAGAAGGTATATCTTAAGCCGCTTCCTAAGGTGGTATGAGAATGGTATTAATGGTAAGGAATTAAAAATGGTATACCTTTAGTGAAGTTATACCTTGAGAGTATTCGTAGCGCGCTAAGAGACAACATTATCGGGAAACGCAGCCCAAAACTCTGCGATTCGGTAGCGGCCGGATGAATCCATGGTTGCTCCTTTGTCCATGCTTCATATAGAGCAGGGGTGTCAAACTTATAAATCTGCAAAAAAAAAATTATGACCTTCATTTTCATTCTCGGAGGAAACAACAGATGGCAGCACTGAGCTTCAGGGTCTGTAAGTGGCATTTATTTCTATCGTTATTCCGCTTTTCTGTTGGCCCTGGCACCCTTATCAGCAAAATGTCTTTGTCAAAAAAGAGAAAAGTGGACACGAGTGTCGGATTTTTCAAGAAAAATGGACCTCTTCCTATATGTTCACTGAGGTGAATGGGAAACCCGTGTGCAAGCAGCAGGTTTCGGTGCTTAAGGAATATAAGGTGCTTAAGGTGCCAAAATACAACAGCTTGCACGGAGAACTGAGAAGACATATAACTTCAATGGGGCATGTTCTAAACCTGCTTTTACCCTCTTAAAATCCTTGATTTGTCATTACGAGTGCACAGCCATGTGAGTCGTGTTATTATGAGTGACCACGGTCAATCTGACTGCAGTAGATGTGAAAGATATGAATAAAAATGATGTTAATTCAGCCAGCTCACATACCTCTATTTGCTTCCTGTTTTCAGTCGAAGCCCACAGTAGTCGATTTGTCGAGTTCACGCGCACAATCATTGGTGAATATAATCTCAAACCTACCACTGTGTGGTGTTCTGAGAATATCAGTGCACACATTAGTATCATAGTGCAATAGCCCCTAACCCCTGATTTGAGGGGTCCATTTCACTCAATGTTTCTGTTTTTCTTTACAGTGCATCACTAGATGAAGGAAGCAGCTCAGCCTCTGCCTTAAGTGGACAGGTACCAATATACATTTTTACAAGCACACGTAGTCATAAATGCCTGCGCTGTATGTAATAATGCATGTAGCCGCATGCTTATTTTGTCTCACCTTGTAAGTAATACTGGCTAGCTTTTCATTGGAAATTTTCACTGTGAATTGTGAAGGATTACCATGGATTAAGTGTTTGGCTTATTTTATTGTTTTCTAGTAGCCCATTCTATCATCCCTTTTATTCCACAGCCATGTGTGCATATTTGTGTAATATTTTGACTACTAAAGATGCATTCAGTAGTTCTTCTTTAGCTAGCCTTAGCATCGCTGTTTTTGATGCATCAACACCAAAATAGTGTTAGACGCTGCTTTGCAATCTTTTGATGTCGATCAGCATGGTTATTGCTAAGTTTGGTCACACATGTCCACTATTAACTACAAACCCGATTCCAAAAAAGTTGGGACACTGTACAAATTGTGAGTAAAAAAAGAATGGAATAATTTAGAAATCTCATAAACTTCTATTTTATTCACAATAGAATATAAATGACATATCAAATGTTGAAAGTGAGACATTTTGAATTGCCATGCCAAATATTGGCTCCTTTTGGATTTCATGAGAGCTACAAATTCCAAAAAAGTTGGGACAGGTAGCAATAAGAGGCCAGAAAAGTTAAATGTACATATAAGGAACAGTTGGAGGACCAATTTGCAACTTATTAGGTCAATTGGCAACATGATTGGGTATAAAAAGAGCCTCTCAGAGTGGCAGTGTCTCTCAGAAGTCAAGATGGGCAGAGGATCACCAATTCCCCCAATGCTGAGGCAAAAAATAGTGGAGCAATATCAGAAAGGAGTTTCTCAGAGAAAAATTGCAAAGAGTTTGAAGTTATCATCATCAACAGTGCATAATATCATCCAAAGATTCAGAGAATCTGGGACAATCTCTGTGCATAAGGGTCAAGGCCGGAAAACCATACTGAATGCCCGTGATCTTCGGGCCCTTAGACGGCACTGCATCACACACAGGAATGCTACTGTAATGGAAATCGCAACATGGGCTCAAGAATACTTCCAGAAAACATTGTCAGTGAACACAATCCACCGTGCCATTCACCGTTGCCGGCTAAAGCTCTATAGGTCAAAAAAGAAGCCATATCTAAACGGGAACCAGAAGCGCAGGCGTTTTTTTCTGGGCCAAGGCTCATTTAAAGTGGACTCTAGCAAAGTGGAAAACTGTTCTGTGGTCAGACGAATCAAAATTTGAAGTTCTTTTTGGAAAACTGGGACGCCATGTCATCCGGACTAAAGAGGACAAGGACAACCCAAGTTGTTATCAGCGCTCAGTTCAGAAGCCTGCATCTCTGATGGTATGGGGTTTTATGAGTGCGTGTGGCATGGGCAGCTTACACATCTGGAAAGGCACCATCAATGCTGAAAGGTATATCCAAGTTCTAGAACAACATATGCTCCCATCCAGACATCGTCTCTTTCAGGGAAGACCTTGTATTTTCCAACAAGACAATGCCAAACCACATACTGCATCAATTACAACATCATGGCTGCGTAGAAGAAGGATCCGGGTACTGAAATGGCCAGCCTGCAGTCCAGATCTTTCACCCATAGAAAACATTTGGCGCATCATAAAGAGGAAGATGCAACAAAGAAGACCTAAGACAGTTGAGCAGCTAGAAGCCTTTATTAGACAAGAATGGGACAACATTCCTATTCCTAAACTTGAGCAACTTGTCTCCTCAGTCCCCAGACGTTTGCAGACTGTTATTAAAAGAAGAGGGGATGCCACACAGTGGTAAAAATGGCCTTGTCCCAACTTTTTTGAGATGTGTTGATGCCATGAAATTTAAAATCAACTTATGTTTCCCTTAAAATTATGCATTTTCTCAGTTTAAACATTTGATATGTCATCTATGTTGTATTCTAAATATAATATTGAAATTTGAAACTTCCACATCATTGCATTCTGTTTTTATTCACAATTTGTACAGTGTCCCAACTTTTATGGAATTCGGTTTGTAGGAGTTTTTCCTCAATAAACACTTAATGAATGTTTATTGATAGTACCTAATCTAAAGTGTTACCCACAATTTATTTATTTATTTATTTTGTAAATTACACCGGTATTGGTGTGTCTAGTGAGTTCCCTTACCTGGAATTTTTTTTGAGACATCACTATTCAGGATATTATCTATCATCAAATATTCCATTCGTGTGTATGTCTTGTCAATGTTTGCATACGCTTTCTGTGTTTGTTGGCCATCGTGTCTTCTGGCTTCAGACCTTTTCTGTTGCTTTGGCTGTACAGGTACTGATTCTCTCGTTGTCTCTGCTGGTTAAGCACGATAATAAGTGTGTTTGTTAGTCTAGTTTTTGTTCTTTGCGTCACCAAACAACACTACATTACTAGTGTATCTACAAAGGCATCAGCCATTGAGCAAGAGGATTCTCACTGACGTTTAGTTGAAACCACAGAACACGTCATTTCAGCATTGAGCTCGGTGACCCGCACCATGCATAATTTGCATAATTATGCATAAACATTTTATGTTGAAAACTATTATGAGTACAGTCTTCATCTCATGTGAGTGTACGTCATTCAGATGACTTCACAAAAACACTATTTCTTCATGTGTAAAACTTGTTAAATTGGCGCTAAACTTCTGAGTGCATCTTTAAGCTTTCATGTACTAATATCGGTATAGTGCTCTCAGCTTTGAACACACACAACTGTTTACATCCATTTATAATTCCATTCTTACTCATTCTGTGTTTTTTGTTGTTGTTGTGTGTACTGTATGTGTGCATTTATTTTTTTTAAGGAGACTGATCTCACTGATGAAGATGCGGCTTTCTCTGAGGTCACTCTTCCTTCATCACATTCTTTCTCCTCATTTATTTATACCTTTACAGTAAAGGTTCTAATGTCTGAGGTTATAGTAGTAATTTTATTCAGATTTGCACTACTGTTCAAAAGTTTTGGGTTGATATTTTTAAATAAGTGTTTGCTTTTATTCAGAAAGAACGTATAAATTGATCAGTGACAGTAAAGACATTTATAATGCTAAACACTTTTTTTTTAAAGTAAATGTTGTTTTCAATTTACCAAAGAACCTTGAATTCTAAGCAGCACATCTGTTTTCAATATTGATAATAATAATACATGTTTCTTGAGCAGCATATCAGCATATTATAATGATTTCTAAAGGATCATGTGACACTAAAGATTAGAGTGATGATGCTGACATCACATGAATAAATTACATCTAAAATAAATTCACATAGAAAGAGTTATTGTGAAATATTTTTGCAATTTAAAGGAGTAGTTCAGTTAAAAAAAAGAAAACTTGATAATTTACTCACCCCCATGTCATCCAAGATGTCCATGTCCAATGTCCAATAAGAAATTTGGTTTTTGATGAAAACATTCCAGGATTTTTCTCCATATAATGGACTTCACTGGCCACCGAACAGTTCAAGGTCCAAATGAGAGTTTCAGTGTGGCTTCAAAGGACTTTAAACAATTCCAGACGATGAATATGGGTCTTATCTAGTGAAATGACCGTTTTATAAGCACAAATGCTCGCCTTGCTCTGTTCTGTGATATACGTTTGTGACTCTCCTGTTCAACTCGTTCATCAAAATGAACAAATCTTTTCGGGTCATTTCGTTAATTTCTTTCTTTGAATGAACCAAATAACTCGGAAAAAGAGATTAGTTTTGATGAACGAGTTTGAACAGGAGAGTCACTAACAAAAGTGTGTCAATGAATCACTGGCCCAAAAAAGCAGGTTACAGTTTTGCTCTCACACTGGCCTGAATTCTCTTTATAGTTGAGACCTGTCATTCACTGTAATGTTGTGATTTGTCCATCAGCCTTCTTCCTCTTGCTCGTTTGATGGAAGTTTGAAATCAGAAAGCAGTGACTCAGAGCCAAGATGGCCAGAGGTTCCTCCTGTTCTCAACCAGAATGAGGATCGCAGAAGAAATAAATACCTAAGAAAAGACTACCTGAAGGTACACACCCAAGTATGCACATGTTGTCGGTTTTTCATCCCTCTTGGGCACATCCCTCCCTCTCTCTCTCTCTCTCTCTCTCTCTCTCTCTCTCTCTCTCTCTCTATCTCTCTCTCTCTCTCTCTCTCTCTCTCTCTCTCTCACTTGTTCTGTCAAAGAAACATACAGACACACATTTTAACCATTAATGCCACTTGTTGGAAAATTGCTTGAATTTGTCAGTTTGGGAGTTGTTGTTGGTTTTTTTTTTGTGCTGTGTTGACATTTTTGATATGACAGAATCATCACTAGCTAGTATACCCCTAGTCTCAGTCCCTGGTATTTTTATATTTTGCCCCAGATGTGGTTAAAATGCCTGACTGAGTCCTTTTACTTCTGTCCTTATCTAAAACATGGCGATTCAGAATGTGAGAAGATTATTCTTTGAAAGATTAAACACTGCATTGTGAGTTTAGCATCAGTTCCTAGTCCTGTGCATTTTGTTCAAATTTGCCTTGTGATCTTGCTAATAATTAGCTGTAATTGTTATACATTAAAAAGGGACAAAATTGTTGACCATTCCGTAAAATAGTTTTATTTCAATGTACGCCAGGGGCATCACTAGGATTTTCATTTTAGGGGGGTTAATGAGGGTATGATTTAAAAAAAAAAAGTTAACACTTCTAATGCTCACTATTAACCAGTTTCATTACCATGCAAAGTCAGGCTTTTATGATCACTTTGGTCCCGAATGTGAGGTAGGTCAGCTAGGGGGGGTCCAGGGTTTCCCTGAGAAAATTTTGATTCCTCTGATCTACATATGTGCATTTTAGGATGTTCTGAAGGCCAAAAAAATTTGGATAACAGCTTTAAAACCACATCAGTGGGAAGCTGATTATTTTTCTCTTTTCTGTTCATAATGGCGAAACTATATTAGTTTGTGTCGCACACACTCTCACGTCTTCAAACACGAGCTTGCTCTCTCTCCCTCGTGCATATTAATCAAAATCAGTTGACAGACACGATAGTAAAAGGTTGGAAGACCGCAGTTTAAAGTGGAGCATTTGGAGATTTTTAGAAATTAGAGACTCTATCAACAAAACCTCAACACTAAATTATAAAGGCCTGTCTCATATAGACGCCTGTCTCAAATGCAAGCCGGTGGAGTTCGACGATTTGGGAAAATAAAAGCCCAGGCTATTATTTGAAGTTTTACGGTATATGACTATTTTACAGTTTTTTTGTTTTGTTTTTATTTTCAGACCATTAGTAGTATATTCTGGCACCTTTCCTGTTTGGGCCAGCCATCATTCTGGGTGGGCCAGTGCCACCCTGGCCCTTATGTGGCCTTCCCACTGGTGCATGGTGGAATACATGTGAATTCCTAAGCTAGTGACCTCTATGAAATATTCTGAGGATCTCACATAACCTGGATCCCTGTCAATTAGACGGGACTGGCAGTGTTGCCCCAAACCTTACACTATAAAATCACAAATTTCGAGTGTCAACTAACGAAGCCATACATTTCTGGAGCATGTGAACATCTCTGTCGATGTGTCTTTGATGCTTTAAACATTCTGTAGACAGATGAAACTAAAGTTTAAAACACAACACCATGTGTGATAGAACACCAACTTCAAAGCCTTGTCCCATCTCAAGTCAATCGAGACTCTTTGGCAAACTCAAGAGATTGATTAACAGCAGACAGACTCAAACTGAAAGAGTTTTGTGAAGAGGAGTGACTGCTTATGATCGTTTTATACATCTGATCCACAATCACAGGAAACATTTTGTGGAGATTATTTCTGGCAAAAGACCTTTACAGACCTTTTTCCATCCTGACTGTTTACACGTTTCACACTGCGCTTTACTCCTGGAAGCTTTCAACCCTGGGTAGAGGAACGTTTTACAGTACATTTGTAGTTTTTTACCCCACATTGCAGTGCCAAACCTGTACAGTGTGAAATGATTCAGTGTTCTGTTAATACTAGATGCTTAGCAAACGACAACTAATAGTGTGCCTCATATTCAAGAGCTAAGGACAGTCACAGAAACACAACATGTTGTATAAAAGGTAGTTTTAGCGTTTGAGGGGAAAACTGAAAGAAACTGTCATTTCTTCCCAACCCACAAAGCAAAACGCTGTAGCATACAGGTTACAAAGGTGTTGACATTTTTACATTTGACATTTTTAATGCTGTTTAAAAAGTAGATAAAATATGTTACAGTGATAAACCTACTTGAAATTTGGTGATGTATAGCAGGGACATTACATTATATCCTTATATCCTGGGGGTTTTACTTTGAGTGGGGGGAAGTGTATTCTGCGTGATTACTTCAAAATTTGAATGAGACAAATTTACAATTACGCCCACAAATGTATGTGCAATAAGATCAGCCGCAAAAAATTGCCTTATTCAAGCTTTTTAAGCGCTATTTTTTTCTCTCTGTGTCTTTAGTGAATCCTGACAGTAGTTTTTTAATGCCAAAGGTGGGTTTACCTGAATCCCATCTCTGTAGCAGCAAGTGTTTTGCAGTAGAGTGTTTAGTGCACATGATGGTAAAGAGTCATGACTCTACAAGTCGATTCAACAAGAAATCTGTGCCATCTTTTAACAGAAAAGAGAAGCAAATGGATCGCTGCAATTCATAGAAACAACTGGAATCCAGATTGAACTTGTTTGCCTGACGGTAACAGCTGATGGGTATCCAGACAACTTTATAACTTTCTACAAAACAAATTGAAACGGCCCAAATATCCTCATGTCCTCGTCAATTAAAATTCACCAACAAATGTTGATGATAAAACGTTCACAGGCTTAGCTTAATGTATTTCCCCCAGAGTCGAAGTCAGGTACTTCTCAAGAAACTCATTTCCTGGCCACATGTCAATGTCCATGGACCACTGGTTCTTTGGTAAGTTGAGAGGATCATTGTCACTTCCCTTAATTTACTCCCCTTTTCACATTTGCCCCTATTAAAATGTTGCAGGATGTTTTCCCAGTCAATCCGGCTGAGGGAGCGTGTCCCAACCGGAAAATGATGTCAGTACATACCCTTTATACAACATGAACACATTAGAACATTATACCTAACAATTTGTGGTTGTTTTTTGATGTTAGTAAATAGTAGTTAAAGATACCTAACATGAAGGATGAAAGGTAGGGTTTACCACACAATAGAATCCTGGACACACCACACACCTGTTCACAACCAGTCATCCAAGCAATTCAATTCAAATTTATTTGTATAGCGCTATTCACAATACATATTGTTTCAAAGCAGCTTTACAAAAAAAGCATTTCAGAAATGTACATAGAAAAATAAAGTTAGTTAATCATGTATTAATTTAGGGCATAGCATATCGCCGGCATTGAGTCGTCTCTTCACTGGCGTCGAGTCGTGTCTTCACAGGCATTTAGTCATCTCTTCATTGGTGTTTTTGTGAGAGGCTGGATGCAAACTGGAGCTGACAAACACTATTTACCTTGGGACTAGCGTCCCAAGATAACAGTAGAAAAGCAGATGGGAAATAATGGGCTCTATGCACAGCAGTATTTCCGGTGAAGGTGTAAGGATGCTCGATAACTTCCGCCGATCGTAGAGTCCGATACCGAGAATTTATATTGAATTTTATACTCCATGGTTATACTAAAGAAACGTTAGTCACAAAAACAGATAAAACAGACACCCATCGTTGTGTTTATGCTTCTTTTTAAAATGATATTAAATAAACATAACTATATATAAATTACATCTAAACGTATGTACGTTTTGTTTCAAAGACGGGAGGACAGTAAATTTTGAAGACTCTGCCATAATCCCGTTTTCCTCGGTTTTCCTCCGCTTTAATCTCCACAACCGGAAATGGACGAGCATCCTTGCGTCAAATGCGGAATTTATGCGTGCATATAGCCCATTAGCATAGCCGCTGAATCTTATGATTTTTTTATTTTCTTTCTTTAAGTAGTTCAAATTACTGGTTTCTAACTTTCTCTTAAATCATTATATTATACATAATAGATAGTACTTTTCCCCTTTTTTATTTTTTTTTTTTCAATTCTGTTCTATTTTTGTTTGTTTCTTATTCATTTATTGTCAAATTATTATTTTTTGATTGTTATCTTTTTGAATGTCATATTGTTGTAATTGTTGCACGTTATGTGTGATGTAAAAAACAACAACAACAACAATAAAACATGGTAATTAGGTTATAGTGAGCCTGATCTATTTCTACCAGAGATTTTCTTAGAATGAAAATGTTACCTGGGGTGAAACTCCCCGACCCTTATTTGCATGTGTATAGCTCACAGCATTTTCATTTACACGTCAAAGCCTCCCCTAGAATTAGGAGAAGGGTGGTCATGGGGGGACAGCTGCCAAGCAAGGCCCACAGCAATTTCTGACCATTCACGGCAGTTTTGGGTGTTGCCTGCAAATTGCCGTGTGCAGTCGTAACCTGAACATCCACTTTTCATGCAGTGTTGAGATCTTGTTTATCTTCATTTTATGTTATCACTGTAGGAATTCCAGGACTGTTATGGGAATTGTTCTAGAGAATATGCTCTCATTCTTTGCCGTGGAAAGTGTAGACGATATGCTGATAATTCAATTTTTGTTTTGTCTTTTATATGACGTCTTACTCTCTTTTCCAAAAAAAAAAAAAAATAGTTTTATTGCTTTTCTGAATCAAGTCTCTGCTTCATAAAACAGTTAAACATTCACAGCCATTTGTTTAACTTTCAACTGAAATTAATTAATTTAAAACAGTGAGGAATGTTTGAGACTTAGAGAAAAAAAAAATTAATGGTTGAGCTGAAATAATGAGTAGGTTTCCAAGTCAAGAGAGAGTGAATCAGTAAGGGGAATCAGTTTGGATCAGACAGGTATACAGCTTTCCACATAAGAGGGAAATTAGGAAAAGAAACTGTCTGTGTGTGACTAACAGAATCGACCTAAAACTGGTGTCAGATTTATGCCTTCCTAAATCGGTTCTTAAGATGCGATTGGACAAAGAACATGAACATAAACCGATTATTATTGTGCTAATGTGTAAGGATCTATCTGATCAAACAACATCCTTTTTTATGTGATCAAGCCATGCCATGATAATGCCATGACAATGCCATGATAATAAAACTAGTGAGGGATAAATCAATTTTTTAAAAAAATCAATTTTGCAATCAGAATTTATGTCAGTCCAAAAGTATAAATACTGTGTATTTAATATAAAGCAAAAAATAACTTCTGTACATTGATATGTAGTGTTTGGGCATTTGGCACCTTTTGGTCCAGACTATTTCCAGCCATTCAGTTTGGAAGTGGTGACTTTTTTGTGTGCAACATACATCAGACTGTCTGTCAACGTGAGTGTGGGCACTTTGTCTGGGGCAGTAAATCCCTTATTTCAGACTAGACCATTTACTGCATTTCTGATGTTAAAGGCTGAAAAAAAAAATCTGTCACAGATCTGATCTTCTGGTTCCCTGTGTTTCTCATTTCAGTACAAGTGTCAAAGTGCTCGAAGAAACTCAAGTGGCAACGACAATGATTGTGAGGTGAGACTTTGTATGTGTGACTGTCTGGATTTCTCTGCTTGAGTGTCACTGTTTTATTGGGTTTCCACAGTCATGAAAAACCTGGAAATATCAGGGAATTTCTATAATTGTGATATTTAGGCTTGGTAAAGTAATGGAAATGTTATAGAAATTCACTCTATGCACCCAATGCCCATAGTTGTGATCCCATAGAATATATATATCCACCACAGAAATAAATATAGTAATAAATAGCTACTTTTACATGGAGCTCTTTTGTTTCAATCAGAATGAATTCATTCTGATTGATGAATCCGAACGTAGTGTTTACATGAACGCTAAATAAAGTGATTGGGTTGATGTGCACGTTTATGTCACAAGCTTCAAATTGGAATAGATTATATTTACATACGTACAATGCACAAATATACGGATTTTCCCGCTACATGGGCAAACTATTCTTCTGCATTATTTAATATTCCTCTATAGAGGCTTTGTGCCATGCTGCTTATATTTATCAAACAGAACGCCTCTTTCCGTGCCAAAAACAAGGCCTCTGTGAATGAGAGTCTAAAACAAGGACTGGTGGGAGGTTATCCTGCTCCACTTCAAAGATGATGAGCAGAAGGATAATTTGAGAATGGCATGACAGTCAATTGAAACTTCATTCAACAACACTAGCTCGTTCCACACGTCATACGACATTACACCATCTCTACATCATTGCACATGCGCAGTACTTTCAAGATTCGGTTTTCAATCCGATCAAATGTTTGTTTACATGTCCTCTCGTTCGGATTAAAAATTTTTTATTAGAAAAAGTTTACACCACTCCTTACAATCTGAATGAAATTTTAATCGAATTTGGCCAATACATTCCGTGGGTGTCATGTAACTTTTTCTTATTACGACTCTGCTTATAGTTTGATTACGATCAGATTATTAGGGTCTATATATGTTTATTTCTCTAGTTATGCTCAGCTTTTCATAATATTTCATCAGTTACAACTTTGCTCTTTTGTCAGTGCAGTCAGTAAAGTTTATTGGAAATTCATTGGAAACCTTGGTTTTGTAACCCTGTCTGTGTCACGGTTCGGGTTGTGTAGAGTGGAGTGAGGACTCAAATGCAGAGTAGATTTGAAGCTTTTAATTAAGTGAAACATAAATCAAACAAACCAAACAAAAGAAATCCAGGTCTCAAAACTAAATCCAAAGACATGACGTGGCAGGTACACAACATAACCATACCATTAACAACGAACGAGCACAGGACAGCAAACACAGGAAGGCTAAATAGGCAGGCAACAATGAGGTAAACGAGGATAACAGGTGGGACAATTAAACCAATGATCAGATAACAAGGGGAGGGATCAGACAACGACAAGAGCACATGGCTCAACATAACAAAACTCATGTGCATAACAAAGACAGGACAGACATGTGACAGTCTGACTCTGTAAAAGTACAATTTAACATTCACAAAGTTCATGGAGGTAGGAAACTTCTGTGTAAAACATGTAAAACCAACCATCTCTGTCAGCAGAAACTGAATCCATGTCATAATTCAGGATTGTTTCAGGAATGTTTGCCGTGTTTACAGTTTTTTCCAGTGTGACAATGCCTGTGTTTTTACAGGAGGGAATGCGGTCTAATGAGTTCACCACAACTCTCACTGTCTTTGGCCTGAAACCAAGATCAGGTAAATCTTTGGGCCTATTTACACATATTACTTAACGCATTTTTACTGATCAGATAGCTCACAGAGTTCACGTCATTAACTCCAACAGATTATTGCGGTTTATTGCACTGCAGTTTATTTATCATAACTGTGTTGTTGAGCTTTCAGGATGTGATGCGTCACAAACCACCACCTGAAGTGGTGTACAGTAAACATTGTCTTTTCAGATCTGATTGCTATCTTGTTTTGTCTTTTTGTTTTTAATCTTGGTGATGATATTGCCAATGTTTGCTAGCATTTGCTTTTCAGCGCAAGTAAGAAATGAAAAATGTAGGTGTTAGACTAAAAAAATGATATTTTCCTATTTAAAACAGTTTCCAGTAAATACACAAGCATCATGTCTGAAATCGTCTTTAAAGCTCTTTACTACATTAACAGTGGTTTTCCCACAGATATCTTATTTAGAGACTGCATTCTCTCTTTCATTTCAAAAATACCTTTGTTTAATGGAAATTTAGAGCTCAAGAACAGCATTTCTTTGGAAAGATATCGTCTTGAACTTTTGTCTTGAACTTTAGTTATACCAAGGCTTTTTTCATGACTTTTGAATTCAGTGGAATGCACAAGGAAGGCCTGTGCTTCCTGTCTCACAGAAAACAATGGCAATTGAGCAAACTTTTAGGACCCCTCTAAAAAGAGCTGAAGAGGAAGTCACACTTCTAGTGGAATGTGTAAGTTTATCCAGGGGAATCTCGCCCGAATCTCTATGAGCGGAAATAGCCGCGACATATACTCTGAGAGTGGTAGTGGCTGCTCCAGAAGCAAACGTTTCTTGCAGAAATTCCAACACTGAGCCAACTGGGCAGCTAACTGGGTTCTTAGCATGTGCTGAGCACCATGACTCAAACACCCTCCACTTGGAGGAATACAGCCTCCTTGTAGAAGGGGCTTTCGCACTTGCGACGGTTTCTTGAACATCAATTGGGAGACCAAAGCTTAAAGCTACCGGCCTCTGATGGGCCAAATGTCCAACTTCCAAATGTCGGGGCGAGGATGCCATATCCTGCCCTGGACTTGGGAAAGTAGATCCTCCCTGACCGGGATTCCAGCAGAGGAATGAGCTTCGAAAATCACGGTTGAGACGGACAGAATGAGGCTATAAGGAGGTGCCTCTGCTCTCCCTCACTCTGAACAGAACCGCCTCGATCAACTTGATGGGCGGGGAAGGCATAGAGCTTCTGCATCAGTCACAGGTGAGCGAATTCACTGACTCAGGGAGAACCAAGGGGGTAATCCATCAGCCGGAAGTCGAAGCTGCCTCCGGGGGCCGCCATTGTAGCGGGCTATCATCTGCTGTTAGCATCCCATTGACTCCCATTCATTTTGGCGTCACTTTGACAGCGAATAACTTTACATCTGATGCGTCCAAAGACTCCATTTATCCATTATTTATTTCTAAAGAAACACGACAATGTATAAAAGGCTCCATTACTTTGTATGTTACGTTATGGCCACGTAGAAGCCGTTCTTGTAAAAATAGGCTAAAAATTGCATCATAACCCACTCGACTGTCCGTCGCACAGTAGAGAAGTTACCGTATAGACAGGAGGAGAAGCTTGCACAGCCTCGCAGGCAATCTTTTACTGTCTAAAGTCAGCCCATGGCAGAGATAGAAGAAAAATGATAAAATAATTAATCGGAGTACTTACCAAAAGTTGCTCCAGGTCGCGCTTCGCCGTCTCTGTGCACGATTAAAATTTGTCTTGGCGCAGCTACTCAAAGATTTACAAATGTCAGTCAGTTTGCTCATGTGACTTCTACGTCGTCAAGCTCAGTTTGAGCCTGCGCAGAACGCTTGGCTATCAGGAAGTGGCCATGTTGAGCTTCAACCCTCTCCGTTGAAATCAATGGGGTCGCTGTGTCCATTTCTTTTACTGTCTATGGGGAGAACCAGAGTGGGCATTGGGACGACTCCTGAGATGCAAAGAGGTCCACTTCCGCTTTCCCGAACACCTCTCAGATCAGGGCCACCGTCTGGCGGTTCAACATACATTTCTCTGACCTGAGCTTCTGCCTCGACAGGAAATCTACTGTGAGGTTTAGAATCCCTAGAACACTGAACTGCCCTCAAAGAGAGGAACTTGTTCTGGGACCGCAGGAAGAGGTGACAAGCATGCTAAAATGAGACAATCGTCTTGGTAATTGAAAATTCAGATGCCCTGGAGATTCAACGGGGCCAGAGAAGCATCCATACACTTTGTGAACGTCCTCTGTGCTAGAGCAAGGCCAAAGGGGAGCACCCTGTATTGGTACACCCTTTCTCCAAAAGCAAACTTAAGGAACATCCCGTGTCGTCATATGACCTGGATGTGGAAATATGTATCCTTGAGGTCTACTGTCACAACCAAATTCCGGACAGAATTTCTAGGCACAGCCAGGGGCCACGCAATTTTGTCTCTGCTTTTTGCGGATGATTTTTTCATGTTGGACCCTTCACACCAGGACCTTCAGCATGCACTGGGACGGTTTGCAGCCGAGTGTGAAGAGGCTGGGATGAAAATCAGCACCTCCAAATCCGAGGCCATGGTCCTCAGTCGGAAAAGGGTGGTTTGCTCACTTGGTTGGTGGAGAGATCCTTCCTCAAGTGGAGGAGTTTAAGTATCTTGGGGTTTTGTTCACGAGTGAGGGAAGGATGGAACGGGAGATTGACGGACGGATCGGTGCAGCTTCCGGTCTGTTGTGGTGAAGAAGGAGCTGAGCCGCAAGGCAAAGCTCTCGATTTACCGGTCAATCTATGTTCCTACTCTCACCTATGGTCATGAGCTTTGGGTCATGACCGAAAGGACAACATCCCGGATACAGGCAGCCGAAATGAGCTTTCTCCGCAGGGTGGCTGGGCGATACCTTAGAGATAGGGTGAGAAGCTCGGCCACTCGGGAGGAGCTCAGAGTAGAGACGCTGCTCCTCCACATCGAGAGGGGTCAGCTGAGGTGGCTAGTGGCGTGCTGCCAAAAAAAGATGGATGGATGGAATAATCGAACTTTGATGCCTCTTATAGTGATTAAAAATTACTATGTATTATTTACCAATTTACTTATGCAATTTACTAATACTCACACTCGGTCTCTCCCACGTGCTGTCGCTCGCACGCAAACACTCTCGCTCGCACGCAGACACTCTGCACTTTCTTGGACACTTGGGACCAGATGTACTAACGTTTTTGTGCCCACTTCAGGCGTATTTGTTTCGCAATATGCGCATTAAATCATGGTGAGGTATGTACGAATGGGAAGCACCGAGATGAAAGCGCAGACTGCCTGTTGCGGGAACTGAAAATGGCAAAATGTGATTTTCGTGTCATGTATAAGCATTCATGGTATGGTCAAGGGGAAAATGGGAGTGTCACATAAAGAGATGGGAGGGGAAGCGTAAACTGCACCTAATTATGTTCTGCGTTATGTACAGAAAAAGCAGGTGAAAGCACGCCTCTATTTTGCACTGAAATTCTTCGCCCTTTAAAAGCAGGTGTAATTAAGTTAGGAAGCAAATTTCCTGGCATATGCCTCCTGGTGAAATGGCAGCAGTAATTCGGTAATTCAGTTGAGTGAAAACTAAATCATTAAGCGTTACAGATTAAGCAGCTATGCAATATTACATTTACAGGAAGAAATCAGCGTTCACATTCCGTTCCAGCAGTTGTTAAACTCCTCGCTACATTACAATTATTGGCATCGGGATCATTTCAAACAGTCATCAGCATCAGCAGTGAGAGGAGGAGGTCCATTCAATGACGCATTTTAAATATCACTCGATCACACTAATTTGATCATGGGAAGCCAAAATTGTGATTGTGATATAAAATTCGATCAAACGTGCAGCCCTACAGCATATAGACATCAACGAAACAAATCAAAACATGCTTCTCTATATTTTTTGTTCATGTAAATTAGGCCTCATACTCTAGCAATGAAAAATGTGCTTACCAAGTACTGTTGAAATATGGAGAAATTAAGTGTGGTTGTTTAAGCCTTTTAATGGCCATGTAATGTAATGTAATTTCATCCAGTAAATAACTGTCTGGCTTGAACAAAAATTCAGCTGAAACAGCTGAAAACCATTTGAAACCGTATATCCGAGTCTATATCTGAGGTCATTTATGTTTTTTTATTCCACATCAAAGTGTTTTAAAGCAGATTTATTTGTTTAAACCAGGACTGCAACAGAATTTGTATAAAAATGTGATGCGATCTGGGAAAACCCACCACATGGTGAAATTTGACATATTACAGGTTTTGATGCCATATGAAAACTGGGTTCAAGCCCTTTCCAAATCTGTTTTTATTTCTTTTATCATTTCTCTAACAAAAGTTATGGTTATCTGAAGTCGGCTGATCGCTATTGTGAGAAAAACAGGTTTAATTAACGGTCACGTCCTGCTAGCGGGACGACTGGTGCTCCCTTTTTTATTGCCTTTTTACATATCAGATATTTTAGTAATCAACATAGATTAGGTACCATTCGAAAGCTTACAAACTCAAAATACAACCTGTGAAAAGTGACATTCAATCTATATTTAGACCTTACTGAAAACGTACCAGCGCGACATCTGACGGGTTTTCCCAGATCGCATCACAAATATGAATTAAACTTCCCCTGTTATAAGCTAATGCTAATGAACAGACAGGAGACACTGAATGACCAGGTTTACACAGTGTGCAGACTTAAAGATTTACCAGACTCAAAGATCAGACAGGTTAATTGTTAATGGAAATGAAAAGAAACATGATGATAATGACTGCATTTACTACTCAGCCTTCTCCCGTGGAAATCGTCAAGACTTAAGCTCCACAGACCCAAGCTTTACCATGAGGAGAAAGATGGAGCACCTCAGGGAGGAGATGGAGCAGATCGGACTCCTCCGGCAGGTCAGAATTCCCCTATAATATTCCTCTGTCATATTTTACAAAGTTAAAAAAGATAATCAAAAATACTTGATTCATATCTCTTGGTAAGCCAAGTTAAACAGACTCAAAAACATGCTCTGTTTTTAATTTTAGCCTAGAGGTTTATTTAGGTAAAAAATCTTTTTAAATTTATTGTCAGTGTTTTTAAAATCCACTTGTCATTACAGTTATTTCTTGCTTTGTTAATTGGACAGTTCTTTGGACAGTCTTCTATCTGCTTTATGTTTCTACTTGTCTCTGGTGCTCTCATCAGTATTGTTAACTGTACTTGTCAGGTCATGATGTAAAAAAGGGACGCTCTTTCAGGCAGTAATACATACCATGTAATTAGACAGGTGTGAACAAATGTTTCTTATTCAGTTCTTAGGAAAGGGATGAAGATGAAGTGTTGAAGAGCTGTATAATAATAATAATAAAGCTTTATTCCAGATACAGTTCCATATAACGCATACATACATAAAAAATGTACATATTACCCTATAGGATATACAGGCTATTGCACCAATGTCGTCTTAACCTAGAAGTGTATCTAGATTGAAGTGTAGAAGTGTACAGCCTTCGAGAGGACTGACTAGGGCTTCAATTATTTGGTTCACTGACTTGTCCAAGCGACACATAAAAACAAACATCAGTTGTCTTAAGTATATGGGGTTCGCTATTTGAGTCATTGCCCCTTTAGAGCAGTTTGGTCCCTTATTGTGTAGGGTTTACTATTACTTTATACTAGGATATACAGTTGAAACCAGATATTTACATACACTTCAGAACTTTTTCTCTTTTAGATCAATAAATATTAACATATTTTTTGCATTTGTTAAATCTCAGAATCGAGCGAGGGATCATTTTTTGTGTTTTTCATCACTTTCAACAAAGTCAGAAGTATACATACACTAAGTTTATTGTGTCTTTAAGTTTATTTTATATTAAACTTATTTTAAGTTTATTGTGTCTGAGCTTAAGAAGCTTCTGATAGGTTAATTGATTCCATTTGAGTTAATTGGTGGCACACCTGTGGATACATATAAAGGCACACCTCAAACACAGAGCCTCTTTCTTTGACATCATGGGAAAATCAAGAGAAATCAACCAAGACATTAGGAAAAGAATTGTGGACCTCCATAAAGGATTTGTTCACTTTAAAAAAAAAAAAAAAAACGACACCAGATGATGAATAACGGTTTTATCTAGCGAAACAATCTGTCATTTAAAAAAATAAATAAAAAAGTTTGTTTTATAAGCACAAATGCTCGCCTTGCTCTGTTCTGTGATGCGCGTTTGTGACTCTTCTGTTCGAACTCATTCATCAAAATGAACAAATCATTTTTCGAGTCATTTCGTTCGTTGAATGAAGGAAATGAATCGAAAAAGATTTGTTCATTTTGATGAGCGAAATGATTCTTGAGCATCAAATCAGCATATTAGAATGATTTCTCAAGGATCATGTGACATTGAAGACTGTAGTAATGATGCTGAATATACAGTTTTGATCACAGGAATACATGACACTTTAAAATGTATTCAAATAGAAAACAGTTATTGTAAATTGTAACCATATTTCACCATATTTCTGCTGTATTTTGGAACAAATAAATGCAGACTTGGTGAGCAGAAGAGACATCTTTTAAAAGAATTAAAAAATCAAATCGATCTAAATCTTTTGAACGGTAGTGTGTATTTATAGACTTTTTCAGTCCATGACACACACACACACAGTGAAATGCTTGCTTGTCTTTGCTTATGATTTCCGGTCATGTCCAGCTTCCACCTCTTCAGCTATGTCTTGGTGGTGAAGAGCGAATGTGATAGCAGGAATGACTGAACAGAGGATGGAGGTTTAACACATGGATGATTCTGTAACGCTTCCTTTTACATTACAGTACTTACAGTGTACTTACCTAGAAAGTACTGGCTAATATAATGTAAGTACATGGAACAGGGGTAGGTTTAGGGGTAGGTTCAGGATTAGTACTAGTTTTTACCCAGTAATTGTAGTTACTAAAATAAGTACATAGTATTTACATGGGTAACTGGACTGTAAAAGGAAGCGTTACCGTTGATTCTTGGTTCATTCAAATGATATAATGGTCTCTTATTTGGATTTAAATTGATGGTTTTTTTTTTTTTTTTTTTTTCAGAACCTTGAGTCTAGATTGAAGGTTTTGTTGCCAGATGATGTGGGTGCTGCGCTGATGGATGGTGTTGTTTTATGCCATCTGGCCAATCACATTCGTCCTCGTTCCGTGGCCAGTATTCATGTTCCCTCCCCTGCGGTGGTAAGTCTCACTGAATGTTTCATTCAGACTTCATTCAGATCTCCTTTTCTTTAATTCAATTTCTTAGAGTATTTCTGGGTAACTTGTTTGATGTTGTGTGGATCTGTTTAGTGCAAGATACTCTACTCTGAAGGTGTACTAAAGAAGTACTGAAGGTTTTTATAAAGGACATTGTCTTTGTCTGTGTGTCTTTAATAGCCAAAGCTGAGCATGGCCAAGTGTCGGCGGAATGTTGAGAATTTTTTGGATGCTTGTAAAAAGCTAGGAGTGACACAGGTATGTTTTCATCCGATATCTGCATTTGTTTTATTATATAATTTGATATTGAATATTTTATTGATTCTACATATTTTAAAATGACAACATTCTAGTTTTTACTTAAAGAGATATTGATAGATGTTGAAGTTGTGCATTCTTGCCAAAAAAAAAAATCAGTTGAATGTTTATCTAAAATGTCATACAATATATATTGTATATTTAAGGTTATATAATACAAAGCTTAAGACAATACAATACAAAGTATACAAAGCTTTTTTTTTTTTAATTAATACTTTTATTCAGCAAGGACACATTACATTTATCAAAAAGGAGCGTAAAGCTATTTATACTGTAAAGGTTTCCATTTCAAATAAATGCTGAATCTTAACAAAAAACATATCATGGTTTCCACAGTAACATTTGGCAGCACAGCTATTTTTGACATGCATGGATAATAATATAACATTTTCTTGAGCAGCAAATCATCAAATTTAACTGGAGTAATGACTCCTGAAAATTTTGCTTTCACATCACAGGAACAAATTTAATTTTAAAATGTATTCAAATAGAAAGCAGTTACTTCAAATCACAATATTTCACAATATTGCTGTATTTACTGTGTTTATGACAAAAAAAAAACTTTTGAACAGTAGTGTACATTATAATGTTGTAGTATTTAAAAATATGTTGTATTTTTGTTTTACCGTGTTATTTATCAATATTTAAGCTTACATTTGCTTTTGTGTTCATGAACAGGACAAGTTGTGTTTGCCACATCACATCCTGGAGGAGCGAGGTCTGGTGAAAGTTGGTGTCACTGTACAGGCACTGCTAGATCTTCCATCGTCAAAGCCCAACCAACTTTCAACCATGTAGCATCGCTGGATCATGGGACGTCCACTTAGCATCCCTTTACCCTGCCTTACCACCTCATCCTCACTCTCAGTGTTGTTCTTTGACCTATCATGTGGAGGTCATGACCCTTCACCCTAACTCAACTGTGGTGAACAGGCCGGCTTCCCCCTACCTCTTATAAGTCTCTATGGAGGAGACTAGACTTTTTAAAGCTCCAATATTGTGCCCTATTGGAGGGTAACTGTACGTTGAAGCCACACATTTAATTCTGGGGGGAAATATCTGTTTCTAGTCCACGACTGGCTGTGCCGTCTTAATGCTGGACACCTCCGTCTTCTTTCTTTTGTATCTCCTTCTCATTTCTCTCGTGGTTGCTCTTCTCTTGGACCGGTGAGCCCAACAATGGGTGAGGACAGGAGAAAAGTATGCAGCTTTCTGGCTGATTCTGGAGCAGAGGGAAGGTTTTATTTCAGTGCCACTCCAGCTCTCTCCTGTATGAAGTCACTAAGAGCCGTCAGTCATCTCGTTACATTCTGTCTGTTGTTTCCTGTCTGTCTGAGGAAATAAGTAAGGAAGAGACGTGTGTTGAATTGCATGTAATCACAAACAGACCGACAATGAGGACACCTGGAAGGACCGACAAAGATGTTACCATAAAGGGATCATGGCTGTCATAATTGTTACTTTACTGCATTTAGGTGAGTCATTTGAAGTGCATTAGAAAGTCTTAATTTCTTTCTGCATGCCTGCACTGTTTTGTTTGAAACGTGAAGACACTGCTCGTGTACATACGAGACAAAGGCTTGTTTATGTTCTTTTACATACTTGCAAATCTTTGTTCTTTTTTATGACTGGTTTTCCCACAGGGTTCATATTATTGCTTCAGTTCTCGTGAACAGCCTGCGTGAGGAATTCACAACAGAATTCCATTGTAAAAGAATTTTTAGTGTTTGTTGCGGGTATCAGCACTAAAAATAGGCCAGTTTTAATTATAGCAACACCTAATTATAATCAGAGTAGAAACAGTCCATTTATAATTGATACACACTTGATTATATGGATTTTAATTTACAATCATCTAAAGGATTGATTTAAAAAATAATCTCTCACAGATAAACAAATCTGAAGAATCTTTACCTGGAAAATGTAATAAAGCATTTGATGTCCTGCAGTTCGTCCGTAAACTAAAGATGTTTAGACATTTTAGTATGTACAAATAATTTTTATTTGTTTTATCAAGGAATTTATTTATTTACCTTTTATGTACTTTTGTATGTTTTATTTATTTATTTAAATTCTGTGTACTTCTTTATCAACCTCTTAAAAACATTAACTATTGCCCAAAAATCAGCAATAACATTCAAATCGTCTTGAGGAATTTGGAGGTTTTGGAGGTCACCATCTTGCCATTTCTGCGTTTACAGGCACATCAGAAAGCCATTTGTTGTGAGAAAGCTAATAAGGGTCAGATGAGAAAGAACCGTTCACATTTACATGCCCGGTTTCATCACATTACTTACGCATGAGTAGTTTTTATGTTACTTGAATTGTGCTGTTTTTGTAGCCCGGGTTTCCCCATGCTGCCTTGCCGCAGCGCGATTGTATTTATTAGCCTGGACACACCATGAACTAAATTTTCGTCTGAGATAGGGAACCAATCACGGAACGAGGAGGGAGCAGCAAGACGATGACGACGTATATGCAATACACCGAAGCAGTTTGTTTATATCTATGGATCCATCTTGGCAGCGGACGCAAAGTTACCTTTTGATACAGCCTTTCCCAAATCTCTGACCCATCGTCTTCTTCCTCGTCTAATTTTCTGTCGCTCTACACAGTCACCTGGTATCATAGAACCGATTGGCTATTATGTGCTATGTACAGGCGCATTTGATAAACATTCGTAGCACCCAATAATATGGCTCAGGGCATTTGTAAACCGCCTCAAATACGAGAAAATAAACGTGGTTTCCAGATCACGTCTCATTCTCAATGATACATGGTCTGGCGTTTGAAAAAAAAACATAAGAATGCTGCTTATGCGTTTTCATGACTGCATAATCCACTTTCTCATTACGTTTATATGAAAGTAAGAAAATGGCCGCTAATACAGAGCATGTAAACCCCAACCTTCGTGTCTTAGCCTGCTTTCTCGTATAAACGGATTTATAGTGGGCATGTACTGTCATTGAGCATTTCCCTTTTTTTAGCCTTGTCTGCTCACTCATTTTCTGTAACACTTTTCCGATCTAGAAAAAAATGTAGGGCGGGACTTGATTTTGTCAATTAGGAATTGATTGGGGGCGTCAAAGATGCGAAGTCGTTGCTGCAGGAGGGAGGGGAAGTGCACATGGATGATGCGCACAGATAAATCTTTAAAAATAAATACTGCTGTATTACATTTGTCGAATTTTATTTCATGGTGACTTCAATTTTAGGCTTGTCTATCTATATCGAAGGTCTAGTTTACAATCTTTTACCATACATGATTATTTGCCATATTTCCTTGTGAAAACTACAGCTATGTTTTGCCTACTATTGCTGTCATGTCTAAATAACTACTTCTAGCACATCTTGGAAGTTAGCCTACTTGTTGGTGTTTTGAAGAGTCTGATTATGTATGCCTTCCAAAACCTCACAGTATGCTCACCTGGCAGTAGGAGCAGCTGTTGGAAACTTTTCTTGGGAAACGAGTTTTGGGCGCTAAAATTTGTAATGATTCACTCCCCTACCCTGGCCTAGTCCATGTACAGTAGCATAGCAGCTTGCTTTTGATTCAGATCCAAAGCATGGTGATGTATTAATGACAGCAATTCATCAGGGTCCTTGACACAATCTCTGCCAATAATCTAAAATGTTTTCTACAGTTCATCTTAACAAAATATGTTTTTATTACGTTTGATTTGACTCACACCCATTAGATACGATCTGTGAATTCCATGTTAGATCAGTTTAAAGTGTCAGTTTTACATTTGGTTGTTTCTAAGAGTTTCCCTTTAGCCTCATACACATCCATGTACGCTGTCACTTGCGAGATTCTAGAAACTGGTTGCCTGGTACAAGGTATAAACTGCTTACTGCATGCTACTTTTTTATTAATATTCTAGAGTGCTCGGTATTCTACAATAATGACGCAACTGTAGCAGAGATAATCGTTGCCATAAGACCTTAAATTGAAAAATTTAACGCTGAAACGGGTTTTATGACAGTCTTATTGCATTGTGGGAAACGGCTCATTCTGAGTGCACATTTACACTGTGGATTGTGAGGAGGATGACAGTATGCTGTTTTGATGAAAGCCATTCTCATGTTATTTTTTGTCCCCTTTCACAATCTCCATTGTAACGAAGCTTTGAAATAATCTCACTCGTCGTCAGCTCTGATCCTCATTCATGGTGAGAAAATGTTCAGTTCAGTTTGTAAAAAGAAGTGTTGATTCAAAAGAAATAGACTGGTTGTATACTGTATGTATAGATGTTTTTGTATGACAAAACTGGATTGCATGTCTGGATCATACCATTGTTCTTGTACATAATCTCTGTTTCAACACATTAGGATGTTTCTTAAAAAGGAAAACACCCGAAACATTTCAGATGTCAAAATACTGGAATAAAATAACATTTTACAGTGTTTCATTGCATCCTTGACCTTTGCTTTGTGCTTCTCCTTCACTGCAGGAACAATTCTTCATATAACAGGGGAGAAAATACCGACCTCTGTAAGTGTCAGACTGTAAACATCAAGCAATAAATTTGACCATTCATCTGTCTGTGTCTGCTAAATGATTCAATCCATTTCCAAAGAAAGCTTTCCAAAGAAATCTGTCTTCCAGAGAATCAATCACAGAGAAGGCACAGGTTCAGGAAGGAAGTGTTGTTTTCTCAAATTGCACTCATGAACAAAGATTAGTAGACACTATTATTCAGCTTTCACGTTTGGGAATTTTTTTGGTCAAACCGCAGTGTAGCAGAATAATTTGAATCATTCAAAACCTCTATAGGCAAAAGTTTTTGATTTATTATGAGAGACATGTAGGGCTATTTATGAGTTATGAACCCATTTACTGAAGCTTTAAAAATCTTGAGAAAGATTGTTACTGCAAATATTTTTTTACTGCAAGGCTATATATGTATTCTTGAATTTAAGCCATGTTATGGATACTATATTTGTACTCCTAAAAGCACTAGCCTATATATTAGTATGAATTAGTGTATAATAATGAGGGAATTTGTGGTCTAGCATAATAAAATAAACTTACAGCCTTAACATATTAAATAGAATAGTGGGCCTATATATATTTTACTAGCTTACACTGTGCATCTGATGATGTTTATTTTGCACATTTTTCTGATATTTCTCATCAGTGGTAACTTGCAAGCACGCTGTTTTCAATCAGCATAAAGCCCAGAGGACAGGACACATATATCATTTACACTTGGGAAAATAAATGTCAAAAACTGCTCAACGTTCATATTCAGCATAAACATCCCCCTGCAAAAAATATATATATATTCTTACTGCCTTTTATAGACCATATTGTTGCACATAATGGGGAAAATTGAATAAACAGAGTAAACCCAAACAAACACTTGGCAGTCTAACTAGGGTGATTTACAGGACAACACACCGGCGGAACGCCAGAACACAAATGCTCTGTGTGAACTGAGCTGAAACAATAATCCTTTGTTTCAAATCATTCACCTCGAACGAGCTGTTCAACCAGTTTAATGACAAAACCACAAATATTTAATTAAATTTTACCTGTACCAATTGAAATGCTGTACAAATTGTGGCATGTATGCCGTTCAAGAAAAAAAGCCCCAGCTATATTCGAGACAGTCTGTAAATAACCGTGTTATTACCATAGGGTTATTACACGCGCGCGCAGACGCACAATGAGTCACTCACACTAGAGAGCGCTGTTCCTACAACGTTTAAGAGCCATGAGATGATTTCATTCAGTCCAAAGGCAACTATTTGATCTCATACCATCAGAAGTTTCTATCACAGGACAGTGAAAGTGAGTATATTTCTTGTGATATTTTGTACTATAGTAGCTTTTTGTTTGTCGTATATGGATATTTTGATTTCCACTTTTCACAACATTTTCAGATCTACTTTATTTAAATATGCTGTATATAGTTTAACTATAAAGTGGACTAATTTATCTGAATTTTATCAACTTTTTTGTGTGAAGATATCGAAATGTACTGTAGTTCAAATCAAAACAGCAGCCTTTATTTTAACACGTTATGCCTATAAGGTAAATATGTATTATAGCCTATTTAATGTATAATATTTTCAAAAAACAGAGCTCCTATACAGAGAATAAAAGAGTAACAGAACATATGACACCATTATTTACTCTAGTTCTCTGATCATTATTGTTTAAAATTGTGAATATCTTTTCATTTTGAACATATAAAACAATTATCATATAATATTTGATGTAATATAGTAATATTTGCGTATTTTAATATATTTTTATGTTTACATAACAACATCAACATTTTTTTATGTTATCAACATCCATTTTTTTATATACATGTTCCATTTATAAACTGAATTAATATGGTTTATAATTTGCTTTCCCTTCTATTAAAACAATATATTTCTATATAAAATCATATTTGCGAATATGTAATATATTTTGAGTTCACCCAAAAATAACCTGCAATCATTATGTGTCAAATTTCACTTTTTTGAAAAACAAATATTTTCTGACATTGAAAGTCAATGTACAGCGAAACTGTTCAGTTACCAACATTTTTCAAAAATCTTTTATGTTTTGCATAAAGAAAGAAAGGTTCATACAGGTTTGGAACGACATGAGGCCGAGTAAATGATGACAAAATTTCCATTTTTGTGTGAACTCAATTTAAGGCTGAGAACTAGCCTACACTATGATGCAGAACAGCTGTTAGGGGTTCACACTGCTGATTTATGCGTCGGACCTACTCTGTAGACTGACCACGAGTTGGTTTTATTTAAACTTTTGCGTCGTTGTCCGCATTGATGCATGCACACAGAGGGAACATATGAAACCCGAGGCAGCGGTTCTAGGAGACCAATCACAGCGCTTGCGTCCGCGTAAAATTGACTTCTTGTTGCATTCTCCAGTACCTCAATGCAGTACATGAGATCCACGGGGAGGAGTCGGATCAAGATCCAAGGTGTGGAGATGGGTAGGATTAGGGTTGGGTTTAGAGGTGGATTTAGGGATCAGGGGGCGGAGTTGGGTAGGTTTAGGTATGTAAGGTGGGAGGATTATCTTGCATTTTTGGAGAGAGGTGCACGTCAGGGTACGCCCGTTACACACACTCACAGCCTATGACGTAGCTCTGGCGGGGATGTCGACGCAGAAGTATAAATTGGGCTTAAATGTCTCTATATCACGTGGTGTGTTTGTCGTGCAATTTATACGCGCATAGGATACGCATGGGTTAGTTAGGGTAGGTAAAGTAGGCCTAGTGGTGTGGGATGCGTGTGTATAAACGTTTGGGTAGGAGTAGTGGTGTGGGTTGCGTGTGCAGGCCTATTACACGCAAAGAAACTGCGTATCATATGCACGTAAAAACAAATTTTGCGTATAAATTTCACGATAAAACACAATGCGTCCAATAGAGACGCGTTTACTTGAGAACAGGCTGAGATGCCAGCTGACATGATTGAGCAGACCTCACCTGGCTATAACAAACACAGGGACCACACCTTATAGGCTACGTGAGCAAAAGATCTGATTGTGTGGGTGATTCAAACTCTTCCCTTTTTAAGAACACTGCACAATGTAGTTCAAACAAGCTCAAGAGAGGTAAATCCTGTACATGTTCGATGCTTTATCCCTCTCTAGACACAGATAAAGAACATGTTGCTGCTGAATAAGGTTCCTGTATGGCTCTCTGCATTTACTCTGCTTTTGCTGACTCAGGACCCCGTCTCCACATCAGAGGTCGTGGCCTGTAGAGAGGCGGGTAAGTTTCCTGGCTGATTCCAATGAAATGATTAAACAAATAGGCATACTTCTGCTTCTTCTCTTGAGTCAGATCAAATACAAGACAGTCAGTATTTGTTTAAACATAAGTTACATTTATCAAAGCTTTAGTAGGTAAACTAATATGAAGCGAATAGTAAACGTATTTAATATTTCTATATTGTTCATGTTTCCTTTTACATCTGTTCCTTGATTGCCTAACTTTATAGCTTGACCGATTCAAGTTTCAGCATGAGTTTGTGTCGCAGATCTCTGATGAATAGGCTGAATTCACTGGATTTCACAACTGTTCTTCATGGCATGCACACAAAACAGTTTGACTCATGCGACTGACGAGTCTTGAGTTCAGAATTACAACTACTGTAGATGTTTGCTTCAGGTGCTTAGTCTGTCTTCAAGCCAAGTGTTAAAAAAAAAAGGGAAACAACATTGTTCATCATAGACATGTATACATTTTCCACAGTGGATCCACCTGCCAATATCGACATAACAGACCCTGGCTTCCTGGGTTACCTCAGTATTCACTGGACTCGGCCAGCCAGCCTTCAGAACCTTACAGATTGCACTGTACGATATCAACTCCGATACTATGACACCTACGAGGAACGATGGAGGGTAAGGATCCTTGAGAATCAGCAGAACACACTCGTTTATTTTCTTTTCAACAAATAAATATTTACTTCTTGGGCCTTGCCAGCACAAATGTGTTTCACACTTCATGCTTGCTTCACTTATCTTTTTAAAATGTTTTGAAAACTTTACGCTCTAACGATTTTAGTTTTATGTTTTGTTGCATTTCCGCGAAAACGGTGTGAACCTGATAGTTTTGTGACTGTTTTACTAAAGCTGTGCTCAGGCATGCTGTAGAAAACTGCTCTAGCATTTCGTCATTGTGACATATCAGCCATTTCAATCAAGTCTGATTCTTTCTGAACTTTTATACTTGTTATTCACTGAATTATTGGGCCTGTCCAAATACCCACAATTGACTAAAACTTTGTTTTGGAAGCAAACTCAATTTGTAAATTTGCATTTAGAGATTTAATCTAAAAAATGATAAGGGCCAGGCTGGTTTTAAAACCAAGTCTCATTTCATAAATTGCAGTTGATTGAACTGTAAAAGGTCTATTTCGTAAGCTATAATTTAGTGTTCCATTGAACTCCTGAGAATTCAGTCTGAAACTCCTTTATGTCAGAGCCAAAAATAATTTACCACTCTCCCTGCGGACTATATATATTCAGGAGAGAGATATTTGTTGCACAACATCCTTAAATATATTATTTATTACTCAAAGCTGCCCTCTTTTTGTGTTGTACAGAGTGTACGAACAGTCAAGCTGACTTATGCTGCCCAGTTTGACCTTGAGAAACCAGTCATGGTGAGAATGCTCACTGTGTTAAAGTGTGCCTGCACCAATGGGACAGAGGTCCAAGGGGAGGAGACGGAGAGGGTGTTCACACCTGAACTTACAGGTAAAAGGTTTAAAAACTATTCTACCTCACTGAACGAACAAGAGCGAAGACCAGCTATACATCCTTTATTGTTCTTGCCGGGAATCGAACTGAAAACTTCTAATTCTTATATTGCTTTGTAGCTTCTTTGAATTATGCACTCATTAATGGATTAAAATAATTTTGCCTCTAAAAAAGTTATTTTGTTAAATCATCTCTCGTTAAAGGGTTAGTTCACCCAAAAATGAACATTTTTACACAGTTTAAGATATTTTAGATTTAGTCCGAGAGCTGCACTTCCGGTTCTGTTGTCTCTCCGCGTTCACGATTCCGCAGTGAAAATGATGACGTAAGCCGCTGCTGATGTATATCTGGTGTGTCCGTGTATTCAGGTTCAAATAAATATGGCTGGGCAAAGAAATGCAAGTTTTCCTCTGTGTCGAAATCCTTAGAGATGTTTTTGAAGATTGTTTTGTTTACAGCGTGCGTCTCCCTCAGACTGTAAACGAAACTCGGGCGCACCAGGTAACACGTCAGCAGCGTCACTGAACACGGATTGACAACAGAACCGGTAGGGAATACGATGCTGAATAAAGTCGCTGTTTTTGTTATTTTTGGGATTAAATGTATTTTCGGAAAAATTCTGCGGAAACAAAAAAACTGCTGGCGGAAAAAAGCACATTTTATCAATCGCAACTTAAAACATTTTTTTTTTGTATCTGATTTTATTCTCCAAATAAACAATAATAACAAATTCTAGGAATAGAAAAGGTCAGTCAGACAGACTCCACAGGAATAATCAACAAAGCATGTTTATATGTTGGCTTCTTTGTGTTGGTGTAATTCTTCAGACTTAATAAATATATAGTTGAAACATTAATAATTAAATGAAATTGTAACCATCTAAAACTAATGCATGTGAATATTTTCCACTTCTATGTTCCCATGCAGCCTTTTTAATCTAAACTTTATTGCACAAGCAAAAAAAAAAAAAGCTATTCTAAACATCCATTATGTCAAAATGCTTTTGAGGAGTGAAACAGCTGTTGCACTGTTTATATTTGTGTCTTTCTAAGAAATTGGTTAAAAAAAAATGGATAATTGATCGAGTTTGAGGAAATCATGGTTCATTATTCATTTCTTGGCAGAATTGTCATACTAAATGTTATCCATACTGTTATAATAGCATATAATAATATTCAATAAAATGGGATCAGTGAATTCAAATCACAATTGAGTATTTCAGTTGTCCAATTGTTAAAGTGCAAAATCTGAATGGAGCATTCATTGTTGCAAATAAATTTCATGTTTATTAAAATGCCTTTGTGTCTTATTTGAAATGGCTTATTCTGTTTTTATATTATATTCATGTGCCTTACAGCAGTGTCACCAGCAATTCACCTGAGATGTGGCCTTGCTTTCTATTTTGATTGTTTTTCTTTACCAAAACATGTTGTGAACTGTGGTTTTGTCCCAGGTGTGGCAGGGTCAAAAATAAGAGACTTCCATTGCGTCTACTATGGGAAAGAGTACATGGAATGCACCTGGGATTCAGGACCTGTCCAGCCTCCAAATTCACAGCACTACCTCTATTACTGGTGAGCACTTCCATGGGAATGTTGTTTACATTAAACCATTGATTAAGATATTCCAGTTTCACAGATGCAGTAAGGGTTGTTGCACTGTGCCGCAGGGAGAGGTGAGGACAGGTTGAAACACAAGTCATTTTTACTTGGAATTACTTGTATTTGATAGAAAATATAGCCTTCAGTGTTCTAATGCAAACGCCTCTGTTGTCTTATCTGTTCCATGGAAGACGAAATGAAGTGCCATGCTTTACACTCATTTGAATTCGGCAAAGTTCAACATAAGCTAATTTGGTTGTGGTCATAGATTAAGCTTGCGGATCTAAGCACATTCCACTGCACTACAGGTCAAGACAGGACTGCTTAGCCGTTTTGTTCTTTCCGTGAAATTGTGTAACAGGTTGCAATACAGTAGATTCTTCCATTTGATGCTAAAATACCATTTATAACTGGTCATACGCTGAGGGGCCATTTACATGACGCCGTTTTCATTTAAAAACTGAAAACGTTTTTATTACGATTATGTTCTTCGCAATGGGATTGTAGTTCTTTCCCTCACTAAAACCGTTAAGTCTTGTACCCTTGTCATTTTGTTCAGTTTTCAAAAACTTTTTTTGCTTCAAATCAAAGTTTATGTTATGATTCACCTCATAGCTGATTGGCTTGGCTCGGCACATGTCTTATAAATCTTTAACAAAGGCTTTTTAGAATCCCTATGGGAAAAATGAATCGAAAAAATACTTCCGCAACCAGGACTACACAAAAATGTATCTTCTAAGATATCTAATCATGCACACAAAACATACAAATCAGTTTTACATTAATATCCCACATTTTTGAATGTGTATGTTTATCTGTTTTTCCAGGCACAGGGAAATGGATGAAACACAGGAATGTCCAGAATACATCATATTATCTGAGGTTCGGAGAGGATGCAGGATACCTCGAGAATCACTCTTAGAGTTCTCCAAGTTTAATATGTGTGTAAATGGATCCTCTCCTGCAGGAAGTCTGAGAACAGCCTACTTCTCTATTGAGGTCCAAAACCATGGTAAATCCACACTGTTTGTATAACAGAATAAAACCTCAATATGAGTAGTTATTGCACATTTAGCTAACTAGGGAGACGTACATCATGAGCACCTGATCTGACTCAATAGTGAAGTGCATTAGAGAACATTCCTCAGTTGCTTCTCTCTTTCTTTCTCTCTGCAGTAAAACCAGCTGTGGTATCCTCTGTGCACATCTCAGAGATTGATGGACTGTTGAAGTTAAATTGGTCGCCTCCTAGTGGTCTGGTGCCAGAACACTGCTTAGAATATGAGATCGAGAGAAGCACACTAATGGCAAATGACAAAGAACAGCAGGTATTCCAATCATTCTCGTTTTCTTCTCAGCGTCATTAGAGGCCAAGCACCGAAGGTGCGGAGGCACCTATTGTATCTGTTTCCGTTCTTTATTAGGGGCCAAGCACCGATGGTGCGGAGGCACCTATTGCATTGGTTAGCATTCATTATCATTATTCTTCTTCCACCATTGGAGTCAATGGTAGCCCATAGAACCGCTTGCGGGAAAGTTGTGAAATTTGGCACACAGATAGAGGACAGTCTGAAAAGTCACCAGTGCAAATTTGGGATCTCAAAATCAATCCCTCTAGTGCCACCATCTGTCTAAAATTTCACAAATTTTATGCTAATAACTTTTGAACCATAAGGCCTATCAACAAAATTCTTTTTTCCTCTTCCTGAGCACATGCCGATTTGATCGCATCCTATGACGCCATTTTCCGTCATTAAAAATGGCCGCATTTTTAGCGAAACTCGGTATGGGTCATCAGTACGAAGTTTCGAAACCGCCACCTAGTGGTAAAAATGTTCAAATGCTCATAACTCTGACTGTGGTTGACTTATTTTAACGGGAGTTATCTCGTTGGGTTCCTGAATCGTTGCCGAGTCCAACGATACCAGACTTGACAGGCTCCTGCATATGGTTTGTGCAGCGCAGTAATTTAGCGCTTAAAAAACATTCGCCGATATCTTCAAAACCGCTAGTCCGATCGAGACGAAACCACCATCAGAAGTTTGGAAACAGGTCGCTGAAAAAGATTGCAACCCAAATGCAAAAATATTGAAAGTAAGGGGTATTAAAATTAGCTCAAAGTCATGGCAGTCATTTTTTACGTGTTTTTTTCACATAAATGTCTATAACCCCCCAAGCAAATTGAGATATTTTCACCAAATTTGCACATATAAAACATTTTTAAAAAATGGTGGGACTGAACCTCTTGGTGCTGCTATAATAGTTCAAGACGTGAAATTCCCATTGAATTCAATACAGTTTTGGGATTTAAATGCTATACACGCGAAAACCATATTCAGCCAAACTTCCTGTCCGCCATCTTTATTTTATTTTTATTTGAAAAAAACCTTCTTTTTCGAACTTCTCCAAGATTTTCTGATTTTCACCAAAATTGAATCAAATCATCTCCAGACCGTGCCGACTATAAGTTATGGATTGCGTGACGATTGACAAAACCATTTTCGTATACCACAGCATCAAAGTTGAGGCATGCTGCCAAAATTACTGTTTAGGCTTTATCTCTGCAATGCCTTCACATTTCGTATGTGTCATTGTCATCTCACTCTGATCACAATGTATCGCTTTCATAACTGCGCCACCTATTGTTCGAAAGTGATAAACCATTAAATCATTTTATAAGTTTCTGTATTTATAATTTAAGCCATTTTGCCTAAATTCATCTTTAAATGTCTTCAATTGATCCTTGACGCAGTTGGTCTGTCACATGTTGGCATGTCTAGTCGTCGTCTTTGTGCTTGTCCCCGGTATTGCTGCTTGCAGCTATATTTTAATGATTAAAATTCTTGGTTCAATTCATAAACACAAATTTCAAGTGTTTGTGTTTGTTACATATTTTAGCTGTCTCACATTTACATTGGTGATTGACATTACAGAATAGTGTACAAATAAGCAAATATGAATCAGATGCATCTAAAATGCCTTCAGGAACAGAAAAGGGGAACACTGCTGATCATTCTCTCAAAGTGGTTTTATTGCTTTGTAACATCAATCATTTTTAATCAACACTTGTCGACATGAACAACTGCCATTCAATTGCATTTTATTCTGAATCTTGGCATGAGGCATGAAACCAAAATTTGATTTTGGTTGTGTGCCAAATAAAAAAATACAGAAATCCAGCCTGTCAAAGCTCATGTTATCTTTATTTCTCCTTCAGCAAAGGAAGGTTCTAGAAAATTTAGATCTGGACCTATCTTATGACACCCGGAGAGAAGCAGAAAGTAAGAAAACTTGTTTTCAAGTCAGGTCAAAGGTGAACATGTACTGCGCTGATGGAGGATTCTGGAGTGACTGGAGCCAAAAACAGTGTACAGGTTAGACTTATTGATTTGGGAGTTTTCAAGTAATCAAGCAAATCTGAAATTGAAGTTTGTGATTATTTAAAGACTGTTATTGTGTCTTGATTTAATGTGTTCTTTTAAGCTTTTGAAAATATGTAGGATTAACAAAGCTAGGTCCTAAGATGTGAAGACAGTAGAAAGTATTCCTAGGTTGTAAATAATTGTTTGCATTTTACAAAACTACTAAGTTTTGATCATGTTTTTTTTTTCTCACTGCCACTATCAGAAGAGAAGAAAAGTCAGTACATAAATGGAACATGGAATAATCTCAGTCTGGTTGGCCTAGTTGTTATTGCCATTGCTGGAGTCATCATCCTCTGTCTTTCATTATGGATATTAAAGAAGATGTGAGTATACAGCAAATAGTGAATACATAAATAGATGCACATGCAGATTATTTTTTAGGTTTATTCTTCATTGATTGAATCTAAAACTTTTGCAAACATTTCTGTCGTCACAGCTGCATAAAAAAGACCAGCAAGAAGGACGGCCTATACACTTTGTGCAAGCAGAAGGTCAACGAGACCATGCCCACAATCCTCAGCCCCATTTTCAAGTGATGCTCCCTATGACCTGCTATACTGCATTACCATTCAGGAGTTCTAGACTGCACTAAAATCTTTTCAAGAAAAACTAAAGTGGTTTTAAAGTGACCGCTATTAGGACCAATAATCTTGTGGAACAGACATGTGGACCTGAATGAACCACAGCACTGACCTGAATGTATATGTACCACTTTGTATACTAGTGTTTACTCAAAGTTACTCATAGATTTTTCAAATGCCAATGATCTTGCCAGTTTTGCCTAGTCTTTATTTTTCTAAGAGCTTTTTCTCTGTTTTACCTGGATGTATAGCTTTTTATATTTTAGATTATTTTACTGCTGATTACATCATAAAGAATGAGTAAGACTACATTACATAATTTCAAATACACTTCAAATGTATTATTAAAATAAAAATCTTTTATGATCTGTTTGTTTACATTTTTATAATACATTCATTCAACAAGAAGTCTGTAAAATACCCATTACAGCTAATGCAGTCCACACCTATATACAATTACAAAATTATTTCATTATTGTTCACTTCCTAATCAGAACATAACAGCCCTTCCTGGTGGTCATCACTTCCTGAGCTGACTAAGCCTAGTGAGTATGGTGACTGGAATGATGATGACATTGTCACAGTATGTGCAAATGAAGTACACAGTACACAAGTTATGTACTCCTTCATGCAATAAACCGTGTCATTGTATTCAAAGAAAACTTTGTCGAGGGCTTGAGGCAAAAAGCAGTGTTTTGAGAACGTTCACCGTTATTTAGCTACCATCCTTCAATTGTAAACCTCGGGATTTAATATTGACATCTTGCACCAAGAAGTCATTAAAGAGATACAGTAGATTGATAGATTAGATATATATATATATATATATATATATATATATATATATATATATATATATATCGATAGATATATTGTCATTTAATTGTGAATCTTTACTTTAACCACAATTACCCAAATTACAATTTAAACTAAAGGAGCCATTTGTGCAGAGCTAATCTAAGTGAACTATTCCTAATCTCTTGAGCCTAGGACATCTGTGGACAGGTCATCTAGTCAGGACCTCATCTTTGACACTTCGGCTTCCATCACAAGGCAGATCTTCGTTACAGGCTGATCCAGCTGACCCATTTTTGTCTTCAGCTGTCCTGAGCAGACAAAGCCTTTCTTGTCAGGGTATGTCTGCGTAATTTTTCCCATCAGCCAGGACCCTTGTGGAACGACAGGATCCATTATGACCACAATGTCTCCAATGGAAAAGCTTCTTTTTGGTCTCATCCACCTCTTTCTCTCCTTGAGTAGCGGTAAGTAGGCTACTCTCTCAGCCATTGCTCCCAAAAGAGGACAGATAGTAATTGCACCTGGCTACATCTTCTCTTCATGTATAGCTCATCCTTACAAAAGATCGCAGGAGGGAGGTGTGGTTTTGACTTTATGAGCAGGATGTGGTTGGGTGTCAAGAAAGTGCTTTGAGGTCATTCGCATCATCAGAGGACTTTGTGATGGGACGACTACTGAGAATGCCTTCGAATTCGCAAAGAATGGTATGAAAGGCTTCATTATCCAGTGTTTGGAGTCCAAGCGTGGAAGAGAGGACCCTTTTCGCAAAACAAATAAGACGCTCCCAAGAAGCTATTTGGTAAGAATGACCGGATGTTTTTCAACTTCAGCAGATCAGGGTCACCTGTTGTCAGTGACTGTCCACGAAGGGCCAATTTTTCCCTTTGCATCTCGGCATAAAAGTATTTGTTTCTTCACCCTCCATTATCATGGCCAATGCTTTCAGAGGCTTCAAGAACCTTTCTCCTTTGGGACAAGGTTAGAAGCACATCTCTGAGTCTAAGCATCTACATAACACAGACATTCTCAGTTTTTTAAAATCTGAAAAGCAGCTTAAAAACACCTTTGTTGCATTCAGTGGACTTTGGGAGGCATTCACCAGTGGGTCTTTCTTCATCTCCGGGTCATGCACAGGAATCAAAGGTTGTTCCGTGATGGTCTAAGGCAATTCCACTTCCCCCTTTAAGAGAAATTCTGGTCCCTTCAGCCACCGCTTGCATGCAAGGAATTCATCAGCACAGACCCCTGGATGCCTCATCTGCTGGATTCAGTCTTGTGCCAATGTGTCTCCACTGTGCAGCATCAGTTCCATTTCCGATTACAGCACACCCTATTGGCCCCAAACGTATGAAAACTGTTCTTGTTTCCAATATACTTTAAAACAGTTGTGCTTCTGTCCAGAAAACTGATGGGTGTAGATTCAGTTGAAACTCCCTCTTCGGCATATTGTCCACCCGGACAGGCAAGACAGTAGCAGTCAGCTAAAGAAGAGGAATTGTTGTTTGCTTTAAAGGAGCAACCCTGGCCTTGCCCAAGATAAAAGCAATACTGACATGGTTTCTCTCATTCTCCATCCTGAGATATGATGCAGTTCCATTGCCATACTCAATGGCATCGGAGAACTGATGCAACTGCAGGTGAGTAGGTGTTCCAAAGTCTTTTGGCTTGATATGCCAGTCCACTGTGCACTCAGTGATGTGATGGAGATTAGCCAGCCATTTGGACCACTGCTCTGCGAAGACATGAGGTATGCTGGCATCCTAGCCGATGTTCAGCCTGCACATCTCCTGTAACATCCTTATTACAGGCAAAGTAAATGGTGCAAGAAAACCCAAAAGGACATAGATAGATGACACCACAGACAATATGCCACGTCTTTTATGTGGGCGCTCTTCTATGTCTACCCAAAATGCACCAATGAAGACGAAGAGCTGTTTCGACGGGACTTGCCTTTTGATCCAGGTTAAGCCCCCTGGTGGTCTTGGAGAGCTGTGGCTCAGGAATACTGGCCAAGACTTCACTGCTCAACAACTCTATAGCATAGACGGTAAAAGAAATGGACAGAGCGATCTCATTGGATCTCCAATGAGACGATTGAAGCCCGTTTTTGGCGATTTTTTTTAGCACTTCCGTCCCTGACGCGCAGACTCAAACAGAGCTTGACTACGTAGATGTGACGAGAGCAACCCATCTGTCTTCTAGTGCTGTGGCATGAGAAATCTGAATCATTCCCTTCCGAAACATGCAGAGGTGGAGAGTGTGAATAGGAGCTGTCCATGAGCTAGGAGAAGGAGACAATTCTGCTAGGTATTCTGATTCATTATTTTGTCATTTTGCCTTCACGTTTCCCCGACTGCGCGCGTTGTACACTCTCATATTGGCCTAAACTATCGTTTTGCTGTTTTTGTAATAAATAATAACCATAAACTAATGTAAAAGTCTGCTCTGTTCATTCATCCATTACGAGTTGCTGTTGCAATCAGTGCAGCACGAATCACAGTTAATCCAAATTTTATACACTTTAAAGCCTATATAAAGTTAAAAAAAACACATTAGAGACACAATAAAGGCGATTTAGAAAAAAAAACATTCAAAAATCCCATATCTTTAGACCGTAGGGAACCGATGGTGGCACTTGTGGCAAAAGGACGCACGAAACTTCATTTCAATGCGAAAAATAGATCTTGAGATTCATCGCAGCAGATTCAAGCAGCTGTAGTTATCTCCTCGTGTTTGTGCTAGAAAAAAATACATTTGTGAGAAAATATTCTACAAATGTGCATGTGCAACTCATGGATGAACTCACATACTGATTTGCAGATGAGCAAAATTCCTCTGTGACTTGACATTTTTTGATCAGGTATGTAAATGCGTTTTGCACCATATTCACTGCATGCAGCTATGGAAAAATGCGAGCGTACGAGTTGCTTAATTTGTGATTTGTAGGATTTGCATCTGAAATGAAGAACTTGAGAAGATGTAACTGTTGTGTTGTGTTTGTGGAAGATAAAAAAAGTCTACAAGTTTGCAACTCTTAAAACATTTCTCTCTTCAAATTTATTGTTACACATGCGTGGCTAATTCTCTACAAAGTTCTACAAATTCCAATTTCACAGGCGTTCAGTTGTTTTGCACCAATTCATAGAATGCATGCACAAACATGTCCTTAATCTCTTATTTGTAAATTTTATACATTTTTGTGAAATGAATTACTTTTATTTGCGAATATTAACTATTTATTTGGAATAATGCAAACATTTCTAACCTCATGTATTTGAACACTAGGTGTCATTTTTAAATACAGCACCTTTAAGTATATCTTGGAAACCTGTTGCTGTTGTGACTTGGTAGCCTATGTGATGTTTGATGTGACTCTTGACATGAAACTAGCAGTTTGTGTGAGAGAGAAAGAATGCTTGTTATGATGTATGTGGGGTGAGGGGGCATGTGGATGTGCTGTGTTGAACATTTTTTGGCAATTTTTCACACTGCCTACTTTTAATTATCCTGTTCTTTGTACAGTACAGTAATTTCAATAGGGAGATGTGACAGTGTGTCATGCTGGATTAGTAAAAAGGTTATTTCCCAACTGTTGCATGTTTGTTGTAATTCTGATTCTCTAGAATGTCATGGTGCAGCATCAAGATTTGTGTTTCACTGGAATTACCTTTTCTAAAAGGGGGTGTTGCATGCTTTTGGATATAATGTATGTATTTTCTAGCAATAACTGTGCACATTCAACATTTAAATAGTCATTTAATGCTTTTCAGAGGGTAGTTACTGTTTAGCCATTGTTTTAATTAACTGATGCTGTGATGCATACCTGATGTAGCCTCCTTGTAGTCTGCCCACAAAATATGCAGATGAATGTAAATAATACATTCACACATTTGAATGTAAATACAAACCCAATTCCATAAAAGTTGGGACACTGTACAAATTGTGAATAAAAACAGAATGCAATGATGTGGAAGTTTCAAATTTCAATATTATATTTAGAATACAACATAGATGACATATCAAATGTTGAAAGTGAGACATTTTGAATTGCCATGCCAAATATTGGCTCCTTTTGGATTTCATGAGAGCTACAAATTCCAAAAAAGTTGGGACAGGTAGCAATAAGAGGCCAGAAAAGTTAAATATACATATAAGGAACAGCTGGAGGACCAATTTGCAACTTATTAGGTCAATTGGCAACATGATTGGGTATAAAAAGAGCCTCTCAGAGTGGCAGTGTCTCTCAGAAGTCAAGATGGGCAGAGGATCACCAATTCCCCCAATGCTGAGGCAAAAAATAGTGGAGCAATATCAGAAAGGAGTTTCTCAGAGAAAAATTGCAAAGAGTTTGAAGTTATCATCATCAACAGTGCATAATATCATCCAAAGATTCAGGGAATCTGGAACAATCTCTGTGCATAAGGGTCAAGGCCGGAAAACCAAACTGAATGCCCGTGATCTTCGGGCCCTTAGACGGCACTGCATCACACACAGGAATGCTACTGTAATGGAAATCGCAACATGGGCTCAAGAATACTTCCAGAAAACATTGTCAGTGAACACAATCCAC